GTGATAGCATAATTTTGGAAGATTGATAATTGGGATAATGATAATGCAGTTTTGTCTATTGATAATCAAGAGAAATGGAAATAAAATGTTGCTTAAGTAGAAGATAAGGAATATTTCATCTGTGATAAGATCAGTCCAGGAGGTGTTGATGGAACAGAAAAGGTTATTAATGTTAACTTTGAAACTCCACATAATTATGGTGCTGCCCTTGTAAAATGGACATCCACAATCAAGAAGTCATCTAAATAGGCATCTTGGGGTATTAGATAATTCCAATTGTATGTTGCATAATGTTCAAGCAATTGTGCAACATGTACTGGACCAAGTGTTGAAGATTGCACAGCTTGTGTTTCTCCTTATGTATTATTGGACCCAGAAGATGGAAATGGATCTGGTTGTGTATTGAAAGGAGATTGGGTTGAATTCACATCAGAATTCTAAGGAGCAGGTTGGACAGCTAATCCAGATTGGAAAGTTGCAGATGGTAAAAATGGACCAGACTTTACATCACAATGTGGAGAATTTAGATTCTTTGGTGGATTTGATAAGACAGGAAAAGATGCTAAAATCACTAGAAAATTCAATTTACCTCCACATAAGAGAATTAGAATTGCATTTGAAGCTTGGAAAATTGATAATTGGAATGGAGAAGATTATTTTGTTAAGGTTGATGGATTAAATGTTTGGTAAAGAACATTTGGATTTGGAGATCCTGGACTTGCTGATATTTGTGGTGGAGACGGATTTGAAAATTATGCTATTGTTGATTTTGTTATTGGACATGAAACACCCACTTTGGATTTACTTATATCTACCACTATTGGAAAGAGTAATGATAATGCTTCGTTTGCACTTAAAGGATTTAAACTCTATTATGAAAAACCAGATGCTTGTGCTACTCTTTATACCGAATGCAATTATACAGGTAATCATTTTATTCTATTAATTACATAGGAAAATCATTTAACATGTGCGAAGACTTGCCTAACTTCTAATTAGCTAAATATCCAAGCAAAATCAAATCAATTTAAGTTCCAGCTGGAGCCAAAGTGATTCTTTTCGATGAAATGGACTATAATGGTATTTTAATAATACTATATAAATAGGAAAAACAATTGAATACACTGAGAATCAAAAATGCATTGAGGAATACCAATACAAATTCCTTTAAAAAAACTAATAAAGCTATGTCTTAACAGCAAACAATTGATCGGATATTAAAATTTTATTACATCATTTGCGAAAAATTATTTTCCTTTCAATTATTTTTCATTTATTTTCTAGATACTATATAAATAATCTATCGAATTTACTTTCAATTAGTCTTAATTTCATTGTTCTTTTTCCAAATCTAAAATAAAAACCATTTGATCTACTAAATTTAAGAGATTTAATTGTTATTAAATTAATAATTATATTTATTTTATTGTAATAATAGAACCAAATTATCAAGATTTGTATTTTATTATATTCATATATCACAAATGTTTTTTTACTAATTTTCTCATTTCTTATTTCAGAATTTTGTTTCTTATGAACTCTGGTACAATAACAGCACCAAAAAATCCTTGAACTCTGTGAAAAATATGGCCGTGTGTTGAGTATTCTAAACCTAAACGTTGTCTATCATAGTAAATAATTTTCTTACAAGGCTCCTTTAGCAGCTTAGAATGGCGAAATAGCTCCTTATCCTTATTAAAAATTAGTCATCGGAGTAGTAACATACATTGGTCGATGAGCCAAAATATCTATATTCGGATATTCAAGTGCTATTGATCTTGAAAAATAGTCATCAAATGCTTTAGATGCTGCGTATGTTTGATTATAAGGCATTGGAACTCTACCAGTGAAAGATGATAAATTAATTATTGCAGATTTCTTTCTTTAGAGCATATTTGCAATTATTTTCTTTGTCAAAAATACAATAGGAAAACAATTAACTGTTATTATTTCTCTTAGCTGATTGTCATTATATTTCTCCAATGGAGCTTACTATAATAATAAATCTAAGTTTAAACATGTGAGACTCCAACATTATTAATCAATAATCCAATATCCAAACTTTCAATTTATTTATATATTTTATCAAAAAATCCTTCTTCCAATGAATTATTGAAATTAGCCACCACAATCTTGAATTTTGAGGTTGATCCTTTACTTAATTCTTAAATTAACTGTTTGGCTTTCTCCTCATTTCTGATAATCATACATATGTTCACATTCTATTAAGCTAAAACTTGGCAATAACCTTTTCCAATCCCATCTGTTGCTCCTGTTACAACTGCCCAACAATCCTTACCATACTTGGCTTATATATTTGGAAACGATTGCAGGCTTTTATAGATTTCTTCCAAAATTCTAAATACAACTAAAGCTATTGTGATTAATCCAACAATATATAAGAACATATTTAAATTATATATAAATTTCAGAAGAAACTTATTTCTTAAACATTTTTTGTTGCCGACAATTAAACACAAATTCATAATCATTGATTCTTTTTTGCTCTTTTAATCAAAACCTATTTCAATTATCTTGTTCTAATAAACTATGGGATAATATAAGTTAATAAGATTCCCATGACTCTATGATACCAATATCCATGACTAGTCACTTCCAAACCCAGTCTTTATAATCCTCCTCTAGCACATTGTTCAGGAGTTATAGCTCCAGCCTCTTTTTCATAATTGGTCAAGGGAGTTGTGACAAAAAAAGGTCGGTGTGACAAAATATCTATTCCCTCAGTTTCAATTGCTAAAGATTATGAAAAATGATCATCAAAGGCTTTAGTTGCAGAATAGGTCTGATGAAATGGTAACGGTAATCTACCTGCAATGGATGATAAATTGATGATAGCAGATCTACTTTTTCTTGATTTCATAATTGGGAGGACTTTTTTTGTTAAAAAGAGAACAGGGAATATATTAATTGTAAGCATCTGTCGAATGTCAACTTCTGATTGTCTCTCAAAAGGGTTTTTCTTAATAATATGAATAAGAATATACCATAGAAACTCCAACATTGTTTATAAGGATTCCTATGTCGAGATCCTTAATTTATTCGTAAATTTTATCGAAAAAGTCTACTTCTGCACATCTTACAAAATCTGCTATAACAATTCTAAACTTTGATGAGGAATTTGCACTCAATTCTTAGACTAACTTTTCTCCTTTTTCCTTATTTCTAATTATCATACAAACATTGACATTCTATTTAACTAATTCTTAACAATAAGCTTTTCCTATTCCATCTGTTGCTCCTGTGATTACTGCCCAACAATCTTATCCATACTTTTTCTTAATATCTGGAAATGGTTGCAAGCATTTATATATTTCTTCTAATAGCAAAATTACCCAATATAACACGATTGCATAACCTAAAGGTTCAATAATCAAATATATATAATCTATCATTAACTTTTATGAATTAAAAATTATATTTTGAAATTAACTTTATATTTGTAAATCAAATCCATTTAACTTAAGTTTTAATACTTTTATAAAAAACTAATGTTAGCTTCAAATTATATTTATTCCAATTAACCTTATATCATAATTTCTTGGATTTGAATTAATACATGGTTGCTAATTTAATAAAAACTAAACTAAATTAATTTTATGTACATATTAGTTTCAAAAAATTACTAAAATAAAAGGATTTGCACAATTTTTAAAGATAAACCCTTTTACGAATAACAATACTCAACTAAATTGATTTATTATATTCTCACTAAGAAGAACTATACACTTTTTCTTCAAATTTACTTTATAAATAAAAAACCATAAATATTCTCGATACCATTAAATTGATAGAGGTTCAATATTTTTGCAATGGATTAAGTCATAGTTACAGATAAATTAAATACATATATTGTTATTAATAAATGGAAGAAGTAATGATAATTTTAAATTGAAAATCAACTAATTATGCACTTTATCTATTTTCGAGATTTACATATTAGATATTAATTTAATTCATTTAATTTATTTCAATTTTGCTAAAGGAGATCTTAAATGTTAATTGTTGGTGAGAATTTAGGCTTAATTCTAAATTTGGATTACAATAATTTCGTAAGCTTTTTTTGTTGTTCAACTACATCTATGCTTTCCATTGATTAACTCTTCTTGAAAAAGTTGATTTAACATTTTCTTTTTTTACCCTTTTCCTTTCCTTTAATTTAAATTAAGTGAAGAAATTAAGTAAAAGAATTGATTTCATTAGTTTCTTAATGAGTTGAATTTTACTTTGTTTCATTTTACAATTAATACAATGATTAACTTTTTTCAACTAAAGGTTTCTATATTGTTTATCCTTATTCATAATTGAGAGAAAGTCGTTTTTAGAGATTTAAGGGGTTCTAGTATTTTTCAGTTGCCTTCAGATTACTATTAAATTGTTAAATGAGATTTTATGCTATTTTTTTTATTTGTCCACTATTCGATTCTTTTACTGAATCAATTTAATCTAATTATTAATTAACATCTATAGATTAACTTTTGAATAATCTCCTTTTCTTATTTTATGGAGTTTCTTCATACTAAGTGCGATTAGGACATATATTACTATTTGAAATCAAGCTACTATTATTGTGTTTACATGATTATTCCATGCTGCTATTAGTATATGTGGATTGTTCTTTGTTCTTCAAAAATTTCCACTGATGTCCAAGATGAGGTAATTTAAGATAATTTGGAATTTTTGTATTAATTTTCATTTTTATTTATTATTTATCAAAAATTGAAATGCGCAATTAGATTTTATGATAAAACATAAACCGAATCAGCTTCATAAATATAATACATATTTATAATGTTTGTAAACAAATGATTTACTAATGTATTTAAGTAAATATTATTTACAGATAATATTGATTCAATATTACATAAAATTTGCATATAATTAACTATCATAAAATCGAGTAAAGAATTATTTATAATTTTTATAAATATAATAAGGGGATCCATTGAATTTAGCTCTATTCATTTCTTTTTTTGTCCAATTCTAAATTAAAATTTTAATTACCTATGACGCATTCCTCCATGTAGTATATATAAAAGGATTTAAGTGAACCAATGTTAAAACTAAGCTGACGATATTTAAAATAATGAAGGTTAATTCTTTCTTGCAATCCGATACAAATACTATTATAATTAGAGCAACTTCTACATTTATAAATCAAAATAAGTAATAATAAGTATAACGCTATCCCAGTAAATGTGACTAGTCCTAGCAAATATTTTATATTTCTTCTGCCTATGCATGTAGCCATTAAAAAACAATGCGCTTCAAAATCATTTACACAATGATCACAAAATTTACAATGATAACAGCGATCTATTTTTATAGCTCTGCACTTTTCGCATAATTTCCCATCAAAGTATTTATCTTCTGAAATCGTTTGCATTTATACTCCAGGTTCTAAAATCTAATTCTTTGTAGTTTACCTGTCATATTGACTCTAAACATTGAGTATATTGATAGTATCTGAAATGTTACAATTACTTTACTTAAATTGGGGATTTCACAATATTTCTAGAGCAAAACAAAATCACAATATAAGTAAAGTAAGAGAGTCCCAGCTACTGTGCCCAAAAATAAAGGGTATTATGTCTATTTAATGATATCTTGTATGTTTTACCCTGTTTCCTAATACATAATTTTTTCGAACCCATAAATTTCCCTTATAATTTAACATCTAGAAATTTATTATTGCAGTTTTTCATTTGATAATTAATATCATTTAATCTATGATTTATTTCATTAATAGAATGAATCAACAACTAAATTCAAAGAAATTAGGAGGATATAAATAATAAAAATTTGTTTAAGAATTATGATAAAAAAAAAATTCTTAAATAATTTATATATAAAATTAAAATGATATAAGTTATGATGTTAAACTTTGATCTCTGCTGAATTAATTGTTTGAACTCATAAGAAGAGTTTAACTATATTCATATGCAATCATAAATTGATAAATCAAAAAATATTATAAAAGAAATAAATTTAGTAATTTTAAATCAACAATCAATTTTTATTATGATCAAATATTCTCCAAATACTTAAATTATTATGAGTTCTCCATACTAACAAAATTTAAAGTATTCAAGTTCATACTTAATAATTTAATGTAAAAACTAATAGGCATAATTGTTTTTATAAGCATGTAAAAACTTCTGAGAAGTGGTTCTAGTATCTAAATATTAGTTTTACAACAATAATTTTTATCATGACATAACATACTCTGACAAAATGTGGTTATTATATAAGCCTTGTTATAATAACCATATTTGTTTTTGCGAATAATAATACAATTAAGGTGTTCTTGATCGATCATTTTCATAAATGTTTAGCAGTTTCTCAAACAAATTCAGTATTATTGTACAAAATTTCACTTTGTGTTACTAAAAACTGACTGCTCTCTGATATAATTCTAAGTTTCTGATAATACAATCAAACAATCTGATAATTTTATTTTTTGTGAAAATTCCATTTTATTGTATATGCAATCAATAATAATTTTTCAATTAATGTATAAACCACACTAAAATGGCATTATTTTATAAAAGTGGAAGGTATTCTTGACTTTTTTATAATTTAAATTGAAGGAGTATTTTCTTTAAATTTATATAGTCACATCATTTGAGATGATGTTATAGTCTTTTATTGTGTCTGATTCAGAATGGAAAGAATTATTTTTAGATGATGATAATCGTTTCTAGATGTAATTAGATCAATGAATAAAGTTTGATTAAAATAAATATAAATTAATATTTTCAGGTTTAGGGAATCAGATTATAAACTTTGATTTATTCCTTCATTTTAACTATGATTTAGCTTTAATTTGATTGTCTGAGTGTTTGATGTTCATTCACTGGATCGTAAATTTGATACCCAACAATCGTAGCTTATTTTTGAGTTGTTACCAGAAGAGTGACTTTAGGTATGAAAATTGGAACTGAATATCTTCGAGCATGTTGATGCTATTAATGAATTCCATTGTATTTGTATTATAATAAATACTCCTCTTAATTTTCTAGTGAAAATTCAAAGCTCAGCACTTAGATGAAATTTAGCATTTGTACTGCACAAGTTAATGTGATTCTTTGATCAATGGATGCATAATCGACAATTTTAACAATAGTTTCAAACTATTTTAATTATAAAATGAATATGATACTTCAGTATTTGTGTTTTATAGAAATAAATCCAATTTTCTGTGTTAGATTTGTTCCTTAAGTTTATCAGTAATTTCTTAAGATGTCATTTCAACAGATGCTTTGGAAAGTAAAAAAGATGGAATAACCAAAATTCCTTATTCCCAAGTTTCATTGTTTTATATTTCGAATTTAGTGATCCAAATTTTGAAATCGTGATGCACTTTATCAATCACTTCACTGAAATACTTTTATTTAAAGTTTTTCTCAATAATTAAGGTCTAATCTGCATTGATCCAAATAATGTAGGGAGATTCATACATATACTTATTGCTTTGTCCAAATTTCTAATATTATTCAGGATTATCAAATGGAATTTTGAAATTATCATTGTTGGTATTCTCTGTGTTCTTATGGTACTTATAAGTATGCTATCCTTGAAGTAGTAATAAATCTAAATCACTCTATTAATATATAAGTCCCATGTATCCGCCAATCAAATACAGATTTTCATCATCACATGTTAATTACTTAAATATCCTTTCTACATTACTCGATAGATGCATGACAACTTTGGCAAAGATTGTATAAACATTCAAAACCAATTTTGTGCTATTATTATTTAAGGCTAAATTAATATCTTGATTCAATTAATTTATTTGATAACTGTAGATTGTAAAATAGACAGATCCATTTTCAATATTAGTGGTAAGCAAGTATAAACATTTATTTGAATAGCTAACACACATAGAACATGGTTTTAGATAGCATTAATGAATATTGTCATCTTGTTTTATGTTTACATATAAATGAATGTATCTTGTACTTTCATAGTTTTTAATTAAACCTACTATTTCATCATTATCTTAAAATATAATCCTTGCCGAATAATTCACATAGTCCTACTCCTTATATAAGAATTTCATTGCTTTATGCATTTGAGCAAAAGGTTATATAACCTAAGTGCCATTCAAAATCACATTCTTAGCATCAATGCTTATTGTAGATATTTTTTGTTTCTGAAATAACTCTTATGACGATAAATTGTTTGAAATTTTGAGGTCAGTTAAACTTAAAATACCATATGGGGAAAAAGGGTCAGTTTCTTCCAATTCATTGGTTTCACTGTTGCACCTATATGATTTTCCTAATATTTGAGTGGCATCATTCAAAATGAAGATCTTGTCTTGTTCAGAATAGATGTTTTAATTTTGCGAATAGAAACTTATGGGATTGATTTTAGGTCCAACATTAGTGATGGCACTTACATAATACTGATTATCAATTTGTTGGAACTTATATCCAATGTACTCTTATTAATCTATGTTTACAAGGAGTTCATTTTAAGATCCCCCAATTATCAAGATAGCAGATTCATCGTTGTCTCTATTGCTATATAAAATAGTTTACTGAACACTCAACATCAAAGATCCATACATAGGTCTCATTGACAATGGAACAATTAATTCCTTATTGATTTTTTCAGATCTATAGGAGTCTTCGCTTATAAACAATCTTTCAACTAAATTGCAAAATCCCATATTCTAGTATTCTTGATTATAATGTCCTCTAAATTTATTTCATATACTTACAGAAATGAACCTCCAAAAGTCCAGACTTCAGAATAGGGTTTATATTGTTAATTAAATGAGAATACGACAGAAGAAGCATATGCTCTTGCAAAATAAGTATCACTCGCTTTCTTGGTAGTTTTGTCTCTGTAAATGGTTCTGAATGAGTTCTAATGTTATTTACATTTTTTAAACTTTTTCAAAAGTGAAGATGTCAATTGAATCACATAAGGTGTTGTTCTTAGCCTCTTTGCCATAAATGCAATAGATGATATTCTTTAATTTATCGAAACACAAGGATCGAAAAAATACAGGGGGTTCAGGTGTTTCATGGATAACTTCTATTTCAGCCCAAATTTATTTGGTTTTTTATACTGGATTAAGATATTTTTCATAATTCACCAAGCAAACTTAGTATGAATCCTATTTGAATCTATTAGCTTTTAATAACGTCTTACAATTCCAATATCTCGGATATCAATAAATGATAGGACATTGATAAAAAGAATGCTTTTTAATTTATAATTCACAAAGTACTGAGTGAGTCTATTATGGATGTAAACTGGAGATTGCAATCTTCTGAGATATATTTATAACAATTAGGGTTCGTCTATAATAAATAGGATTGAATTACTGTTAACTAAATTATCTATTACGTATATGTAATCTTTTAAGTCTTATGCTAAAAAAGAAACAAATTAAGAATCCTCTCTTCTTTAAGTTTTTTAATGTTATTTAGAGAGTAACTTATAAGTATGAATTTGTTATTAGGTTGATTTGAATAAATTACTAAACAGATGCTTTTGATGACATTGATATAATTTATCTAAAAGGTTAGCGTAAGATAGTTTATATTGTAATAAATCTTAACATTATAGATTGGGATCTTGCATACGTTTATCTTTATCCTTAACTTCCTGTAAATATGATTCTAAAATATAATGATAAACTGTATTACTTCGACATGATTCAAGAAATCCTGATAATATTTCAAACATATATCTTTCTTTCTCCTTATTTAAAACAAAATGTGAAATATTGCCTTACCTTTTTTTCTCATAAAAACTATTACTCTTAACAATTTTCATTGCATTGTTAGCATAATGTGATAATTCACAATGTTGTTAATTAGATGGATGTAAGAACTTAAAGCTCTATTAAACTTGGGTAATATAAATATTCAAGTAATATAAAATATTCTTATGATCCGTTTTTAAGAGTTCAATTTCAAATCTATGGTCCTGAATTTAAACACCTGATGATAAAATTCTAGGTAAGAAAATAACCTTATAATTGCTAATTAGTGAGAGATGAGTTGTGATTTCTGTAAACAGTTTTGAAGACAATTGGATATCGGATTCTTAATTGAAATATGCAAATGAATAACTAAATATAATAACCTAAGGTTGGAATTATTTTATTAGAGGATACACTAGTAAATCTAAGATATGTCTAAAATGCATATCATTTAATCTTTTTTGTTTATGACTCTATCTAATAGGGATAATATATGAGTTTTTAGCCTGCATGAAACAATTCTTGTCTTTGGTCACTAAATCAAACATTTAAGAGTTATCATCACTTTCCAACATTTCATCTACAACTGATATGTATTAGCAGGAATCTGAGTAATTATCTAATAATTTGTAATTGAATTCAAAATCTATTCCATCCATATTAAAAAATGTAATTTTTGGTAGGTATTTCTCTTTCATTTACTTGACTTCCTCAGTTCCTTCATATTCTTCTTCTAATATTGATTCATAAAAATCACAAATTGACAATGCAAGTGGATGTATAAATGGATCTAGTATTTACAAGGAAATATGTTTTAGAAGAAGAGTTGAGTTTAATTCTCCTTCTGTTACTTTGTTCAATAAATCATATACCATTATTATAAAATGATGTAGATCAGTGTTTTCATAGAAAAACTTCATCAAACTGTCCTTTTGATGTTCAGTCTTCTTTGGTTAATCAAAATGTCCTTAACTTTAAAATAACGAGGTATGTTATTCTATGTAATTTAAAAAGTCTTGATTCTTCATCATCAAGTTGACAATCTTTTCTCTGACAACTGTAGTGTCATAATGCATAGAGTTGCTGTTTTTAATTATATGAAATGGATTTGGTTGCTGAAATTTAAATTGTTCTTTACTTTAAAGTTATAATCAGCATATTAGATAAAAAACTTTCTGAATAATTGAACAGCAACAACGGTGGACCTATCATCTAGGTTTTCAGGCTACAATTAAGCACCAATTTTAAGAAATCTTCCTGTTCTAGCATCATTATTAAAAGGTGAACATTTTGAAAACATAAAGAAGAGCTCCTATAACTGATTATCTTGATAACCCTCAGTAGGTTTGCCAAACTCAGACTCTAAATAAATGAGATCATCTTCATAACAATGGCCGAATATTTACTCATATATTTTTCCTAAATTCACATAGAATTGTCGATCCACCTTCAATTCTAATAGATATAATCTCTCGTACTTAAAGTGCGTACATAACTTAAAAAGACACTCCACTTCAATTTGTCATCCACAGCCAGATATTGGGTGCACATCAGTAATAATGGTTTTTCCCCATTTGCAAAGAGCTCGTAATTATATGCACACTGATTCTAAAACAATAGAGGTTTACAAATACTTTGGTTTTCAAATTGTCTATGCCAGCCACTATTTAAGCATCATTTAATGTTTAATTTAACATTATTATTTATTTATGAATGCAAGTTTGTAAAGTGAAACCCTTTGTTTAACCTAGTACGATAAATCAACACAAAAAAGAAACTCTTATTAGGACGAAGACCTTCAAGATTTTTAGAATGCAGAAACAATTACAATAACTAAGTATTCTAAAAATACTGATTCATCATCCGAACGGGAATCATATCCAAATCAAACATTGAATTTAACAAATTTATCTAAGAACACTCCTCGTTAACCAAGTATTGATTCCTTAAATATTAGGTCATACTGATAGTTAAATAACACTCTCACTCACATTAATGACTAAATTAACTTAAGAGGACTCAATTAATTAAAGGAGAAGATCCATCTGATTAATGATCTAAATTGAAGAAGAGTCAGAAATATGTACTACTTCCAAACTGATATGCATATTCTTTTTCTTAAAAAAATTAATAAACCTGGATATTAAAATTTATCTGGTGACAATAATTCTAAAAGTTAATAGAATTTTCTAATCATTACTATAGATGTAGTTTATTATTCTATCATTTATTGAAAATACCTTACTAAATCAAATCTAAATCTTCTGATGCTAATAATCATCTCTCTTTATTTTTCTCTGGTATAGAATTAATTTTGAATTTTTAATAGTCAATGTTTTCAAAATGTCTTATTATATTCATCTATCCTCAATAATCAAGGGTTGATGGAATTAATCCTAAGTGTCCAAATGGTAAATAAATGATGGTATAAAATGTATGATATAATGGAGTACTGTTAATACAATATAGTGAAATATTAGGATGAATTATATAAACATAATTCTAATAAATTCAAATTATTAAATCGAATAAGTTTGATACTACATAAAATAATTATCATCTGTAATCACAATAATGAGAAGTAATATTTATAGGGTTAATTTTTAATATATTGGATCTTGATTTAAAATCAATTGAATAAAATAGGTTAAATATTTTATGAAAAAATTTTTAAATTAAACAACACAGATTTTGAATGTATATAATTTTAACAATGATCTGATCTTTCATGAAATAAAATTAGATTGTTTTTATTATGAATATTTTCATTCCTTTTTTGATTTATTTAGTCCCTTCTCATCCAATTCTTGCAACTTCTTTTTAAAGAATGTAGGCAGAAGAGCAATCAAAGACAAACCTAACAATGTCAATATAGCCTAAAAATCAATGATTTAATAGTTTACTTGATAACTTGTAGAAAAGTCATTAAGCTCTTGAATCAATAATCCTGTTCTAATATGGATGATGTTTCCTGGCATTAATCCTAATGTTCAAATGCTGTATTACCAAATAATGTGCCAAAGAAGAAATATTTAAATGGAAGGCCAACAATAGGTCCTGAAACATTAATTGAAACATTAGGAATCAATGGAGTGAATCTCAAAAATAGCATATAAAAAAATAGATTGTCTCTATTCTGATTGATCTTCTTATTGAAATTGACAATTTGATTTGGAAATCTGTTTAACACTAATCCTCTTGCCAATGAATAGGACAATCCATAACATAAACTGGCACCGGTTGTAGCACATAAACACACCAATAGAAATGCTGGGATTGGACCGAACAATTGCCCTTTAGGAATGAAATAATTCTCTTACCTGAAAGCAAACTCAAAAATACAGGTCCAGGAATGGCGAAACTTTGCATGAACACATAAAGGTAGATGAAGGCAAATAGAACATAGAATTAATTATTTTCTGTGTATCTGTTTATTACATTTAACAATTCTGCAATATGATGAGGGTATTTGGGGATTCTATAGACAATCTTTCTCTCTTCCCTATTTATAAATGAATGTGTTTACTATGTTAAATGTGGAGAGAAATGTATAAGAACATAAAGACCAATCAATCCTGTAGCAAATATCCCAAAGAGAATTAATCTTCTTTATTTGTCATTTTTTATCTCTGCTTTAAGCTTATTTATATCAATTTCTGTACTCATATTATTTTAATTAATATTTTTTGCTGTTATTTTTAATTTCTATGGGAAATTGTGCTACATGTGACGATCCATCAATTTATGAACATGCAGGAGAATAAATGAGGCCTTTTAAGAATAAACCAAACTTTGAAGATCAAGAGAATGTTCAATAATCAACTTAGAAAAGTAAATTATCATAGAGTACTGTTAAATCTCAGAATGCTAGTTTCGTTGTATAATAACATATTAGGTTGATTATAATATAATAACTGTAGACAAGACTTAAAGAAATTAGATTCAATTCCTGATTTTACCAATGCATTTACTAAGCCATTAATAGATTAGTTATAACCATTTAATTACGATCAAAATGAACCGTTTGAATTTAAATCACTACCCTTCTATGGACCAGTCGAAATAGAACCCAGTGTCTTTTACTATGGACAATGGAAGAATGGATTCAGACATGGAAGAGGAAAGTAATTTTGGGCTGATGGTTCAATTTATGAAGGATATTGGTTACAAGACAAAGCCAATGGAGATGGAAGACTGATTCATTCAGATGGAGATCTCTATGAAGGCAAATGGTTAAATGACAAAGCCCATGGTTTTGGTGTATATAGTCATAAAGATGGAGCATTTTATAAAGGGGAATGGTATGAAGACCAATAACACGGTAATGGATTAGAAAAATGGGCTGATGGTTCTATGTTTGAAGGAACTTATACTAATGGAATGAAACATGGACATGGAAAATTTAGTTGGCCAGATGGTAGTTCATACGTTGGAGAATTCATTAATAACAATATTCATGGTAAAGGACATTACATTTGGGCTGATAATAGAGAATACGAGGGAGACTGGAAGGATAATTAAATGGATGGTCATGGAGTCTTTAGTTGGTCAGATGGAAGGTAAATCTATTAAGTAAAATATTTAGGCGTTATGTTGGTGGCTATGTGAATGATAAGAAGGAAGGCTATGGAGAATTCTATTGGCCAGATGGAAGAGTATACAAAGGATATTGGAAAGATGGTAAACAACATGGAAAGGGTTAATACAAAGGAACAAACAAAATGTTGAAAGAAGGAGAATGGGTTGATGGAAAACTGCTTAAATGGAACAATTGATATTATATTATTAACTAACTAACTAACTATTTTAAGTTTATAAATTATTATTTAAAAGATAATTCGAAAATCAATACTCCTTATCCCAATTTGGATCACGTGCTTTTTCTGGCCTATATACATTTGACGCAGTAGCAGGATCATTCTATTTTAATTAATAATATACTTTTATTTCTTCAGAGATCAATTTTCCAACTTATATTGCTTTCTATATATCTTTGTCACTATGTAATTTATTTTTAGGTGGCAAATAGGGAGGTTTAAGTTCTCTATTAATCAAACTATCCTAATTTTGTTAATACTACATTTACATAATCAAATCTTTCAAAAAAGGAATTATTTTTTAGACTTGCATATGATGAACCAAGTCTCAACTCAGGAGTCTTGCTTAATAATTATTCTATCAATTTCTTAGCTTTTCTGTCTTTTAGAACTGAAGGGAAAGCCAGAGATTTCTTTTGAATTTCTTCATAAATTTCATAGCTAAATATTAATTTCAATTAATTACGGATCATCTGCATCTTCAGCATAAGGTACATTACCACACATAAACTCATAGAGACATATGCCGATAGACCACAGATCTACTGAATATGTGTATCCTTTTCCTGTTAAAATCTCAGGTGCCATGTAATGTGGAGTGCCAATAATAGTATAAGTTCTACCGTTTTTGCTTTTTAGATTTTTTGCAGTACCCAAATCAATTAGTTTCATAAATCCCTAATTAATAATAAAATGGGAGTACTTTTTCATCTATCATAATATTCTCAGGTTTAATGTCTCTGTAAATAATATTATTGAGATGCAAATATTCCATGCATAATATCAATGATCCAACATAGAATTGAGAGTCATAAGTGTTAAGCAATCCAATATCTCTAATTACATCAAATAATTCCATTCCTCTAATGTATTCTTCTAAGAAATAAATATAAGTGTTGTCTTTAAAACTCCTTGCAAAATGCATAATCAATGGGAAATTGACAGTTTCCAAAGCAATCTTTTCTTAAGCTAGATGTTTTTCCAGATTCTATTCAATGATTTAAGCTTTTGAAATGCACTTGAGAGCATATGTCTTTTTATCCAATTTATTGTAAACCAAATAAACATTACCAAATTATCCTTAACCCAATTTCTTAACTGATATCAATTAATCTAATTCAAAATGCTTATAAACATCTTATTTTTGCCCATCTTCTTTCTTAATAAATCTATCATGAGCTTTTTCATTCTTAGCAAAGATCTACTCTAAAGAACCTCCAATAATTTCAAAGAATTGCTTAAAAGTAATAACAGCAATCATTCCATCATCCTTCATAACAACAGGCTCTCCCAATTTAACATTCTCTCCTTAATCCAAGAATTTATCACCAAACATCTATCCCTTTTCAAAAACTTCTTTGCCATATTTTATAGACCCTTACAATACAATAATAATTTCTCTGCAAGACTACCCTTTTTCAATGATAGATTCCTCTGCCTTCTTTTAAACTTGTTTCATATTGCTAACAATTCTTTCAACTTACAATTTGGTTAATTTATTAAGTATTGGATGTCTTTCAAATGCCCATCTCTCTAGATTGCTATACATGATGAATTAAATCTTATCTCCTAGAATTCTTGTCAAATCGTCTCTTGCTAATGCTAAAACTACCACGTCTTCTTTAATGGCTTTAGCAGTAGCTCCTCTTACAGAATTGGATTGAAGTGCTTGTTCTCCTAAGGAGTCTCCTGCCTTCATTATTCTTAATTCCTTGCCTCCTCTGGATATCTAGATTTCTCCTTTTTTGATAATGAAGAATGAGTCTGCTTAATCGCCCTCGTTGACAATAATTTCACCTGCTTTAAAGTTGAGATTAATCAAAGCAGCAGGTATGGCTGCTTTTTAGTCATCGGTTAAAGATTCTATAGATGAAATAATGGGTTACCGAAAAACTATACTTTATTTATAAATTCTTTATTCTGCTCGTAATCTCGTTACGATATTGATTCAATAGCCTTTCTTACGGTATTTCTATCAATAGCCCAAAATGCACAGTCTATGATTCATAATGATCACGATTTACCTCCTACAGCCTTGACAGATGCTGATCTGGGAGCATTGTAAAGTAAAGCCAATTCTCCAAAGGCTTCCCCTGATTTGAGTGTTTTCTTAATTTCATTATTAATGATGATTTGACATTGGCCTCTCTCAATCAAAAAATAAGAACTGGCTTTGTCACCTTACTTAAAAACCATTTAGCCATCATGGACTGTGCAGTAAAACATAGTTTCAATGACTTTAACTCTTGACATAAAATTTGATCATACTTGTCCTCAGGTTGCAATTAACCAAAAATAAAACTGTTACTAAAAGCATTCAATAATAATTGATAATCGAAGGGACTTTTGATTTTTTCTTACTTTTATACATTTTCGTATATGACCTCCTAATCAATAACAGCAGCAATTTTAGCCATCTTTTTTTACTCTTTTCTTTTGGGCTAACATAAGGTTATTTTGTGCTCATACTTCATTTTCTTGCTTCGGTTAATCATTTTGTATGTTCTATTCTGCTTATTTCTCTTGTTAAACTTGCATCTGAGGGACATCAGTCTTCACTTCTTCTGGTTTTGGGGGCACTGCCTATTGAACAGCTGGAAGTTGGGATGTATTGACTTCATTGTTTTCTTTATCAATTATTGGATTTTATCGACAAATATTGCCCATTGATGTCTATAATTATTTTTCAAAAAAATGTATATAATTAATAAATTACGAAGATTTATGATTTCTGGTTACTCAATGAATAAGAAGAGAAACACCAAGAAGTACTCATGAATGATAAGGAGTCCCTCTTTGAACTCATAATTACGAATAGTTTATTTGTTAATAAATATCAAAGCAAAAGATTGCATATAAATGTAACTTATAGCATTAGTATGAAGTTGGTCATTAATAAAATGTTTCATCAATTACATTCCAGCCATCAAGGTCATTCCAATTTTCACTCTGTTTTTTTTTGATAAATGGATTTTTTCTCTGAACTACCTTTGTTGTACTTATACTATCAACCTCTGTGAGATATTTCTTGACTTTGTTATTCAGGGAGCATTATTTATTTTTTATGATATAAGTAGTTTGGTTAATTATATTTTTAGGCTACAAAGGTAATAGTTCAGGTGATTTGTTTAGATTGTGATTCTACTTTTTATTGAGTCTACTTTTCATGTATTTTTGGAAGAGAGTTTCTTTGGGCAATTCCTATAAGATCCCCTTCAAGTGCATAGTTGGAGTGATTTGTTACTATTGAAATTAGAGTTACTATTTATGGAGTTGTTATGATATCATTATCTAACAGTATAATAATAATAATGAAATATTTTCAAAATGGAATTAACTAAATTTGTGCATAAATCATCAGACCACTTAGAGCTGAATATCAACAGTATGATTTAGGTATTGTTTATTATCAATCAACTGTTTAGGTCCTATCTAAGATTAAACATACACCAGAAATGATTTCGATTTAGTGAATCATTGTCAACAGAGGATAAAAGTATCACTATTTTAAGGTAATGTTTAAAGTGATGTCTGCATCATTTATTTGCATTCAGCCAATGGATGTAGATTAGAAGCCTTAAGATATGTGAATGAGATCTTGAATTAAAATTACATGTTTCTTACTTTTGATTTTACTGGCAGCGGCATATCCGATGGCAATCAAGTGACTTATGGATACAGAGAAATTTATGATTTGCAGACCGTCATCACACATATAAGTCAATATGCTAAATCTATTGTTTTATGGGGAAGATCTATGGGTTCTGTAGTTGCTTTGCTGTATATGCAGTAATTTCAAAATGTTTTTGTAAAATGCTTGGTTCTTGATAGTCCCTTTATTTGTTTGTAAGATGTATTCAAATATTCCTATTTGAGATTGTAGTGCAGATGGCTTCAAAACGAACCAAAATTCCAAACTTCATTTTGAACTCTCTATCCTCCTATGTTTCTGATGAAATCAAAAATCAGTGCGGTTTTACAATGAATGAGATCAATTGGTAATCATATTTTAATAATATTTCTAGTTTAAATAATATAAAGCTTATAAAAATACCTGCATTTTTTATCACCTCAAAGATTGATTCAATAGTCTCGCATGAATACACTGAAAAACTATTTAATCATTACTAAGGAATCAAGACAATCTATTACACCAATTAGGATCACAATGAAACAAGAGACTTTGCTTTGGTTGATAAAGTGATGAGTTGGTTAAATCAACAATTACTAAGTGTTGGTCAAAGAATCAAACAAAAAATAATATTTAAAGATCATCCGATTCCAATCAAATTAATTGATCTCAACAGTTTCAATAATAAGGAGAGATCCTCAACCTTCGATGGTACCAGTAATCTTATTTTAGACAATAGAATTATGTCAATTTCTCCAAAACAAAAAATAACTAATATTCAATAGAGATTCCAATAGGTTTTATAAACCTAGAGATCAGCCTTCATAGAAAGGTCTATTTCTACTAATAAGATGAACATATCCGTGGATGTTTATGACACCAACTAAATTAAGTTAATGAACCTAAATAAACTCAAATAATAAAACTATTATAATTAACATACTAAACCAATCACATTTACAAAAGTACCCAATAAAACTAGGGATTCCAGTCACCATAGATATTGATCAAAACCATAAATTAATTCACTTTAAATCTAATATTTTCATAAACAAAATAAATTATATTCAAAAATTTTGATTATAACAAAAATCAACGAAATTTTTTCGAAGGAGAATCAGAATCTTCGACCTTCTTACAATTTAAATGAAACTCCCTTATCTTATTATCATAGTAATGGTTATACTACCCATTTGATTTAGGACTAGCAGTGTTTCTTTGTTTGAGTTCTTTGATTGTTTAATTCTCCTTTTGAATTACTGATGTTATAAATTCTAAATATACATTTAATGAAATCCCTTAATTTGTAGAAATAGTTTTTGCGATGCTCATCATTTGTGTCAATTCCCTAATGTCCAATATTTTCAACCTCCCAATATTCATACAATCTTTGACAATTGTTTGACAATAATTGAGCATGATGCAAATCTATAACCTCATCCTCCTTTCCATGCATTATAAATACAGGACAAGTGACATCCTTTATTCTATCTACATTTGGAAAAATATCATAAAATGGAGTTGACTTTAACTTGCTATTAACTACTCTCAACCCTGAACTTAAACCTGAATGAACTACCAAACCGCCAACTGGGAATTCAATATCAGATACTAACATTACGCTGGGTCCGGATCCAATACTATAACCATAAACAATTATTTTAGTTGGATCAAACTTCATTTATGAAACCAAAAAATCATAAGCAACTTAGATGTTATTGATGATATTGAGATCTGTGCATTTGCCTTGTGAAAGTCCATAACCAGAATATTCATAAGCAAATATGTTTATTCTCAAATTGTTACAAAGGTCTTAAAGAATTTGAATTATAATTATTACCAATTAATGTATCAATCATGTAACCCAAATCACTGGCATTACCATGACTGAATAACATCACATAATCACTCAATGGAAATAAACACTTTATGTATAGAGAAGCAATTCGATGTCCTTTCCTTCCTTTTAAAAAATATCCAGTCAGTTCTAAATTTTCTTATTTTGGAATTGGAATTTCTTAACCTTGTTCATCAATTAAATAAAAGTCTTAAGCTGGTTCGGTTATTCTATTCTACTATTATTATCCTTACTTCTCTCGTAATGGACTTAAAGATTCACTTGTAAACTACAACAGTTCGTCTGCCAAATCTAACAAACCCAATTGATGAATGTTTTCATCATCATACGATTTAGATTTCTATCGCATCTCATTTTCTAAGTCAATAACTTAAAGAGACGAAGTATTTGTTAAGGTACTCTTTGTCATCTAATCGTCCTATCTCGGTTTCAAAGAGTAACTCACTTTCGGTGGTTAAAAGGCAATATTTTTTAAAATCTTCTATCTCAACCCGCAAAAACTTAAAGACTAAAATATTCCTACTGTAAATGAAGACTTAAGACTCGACATAATTTATATATAATTATTAATTTTAATTAATCTCATCTTACGTAAGTATTATAAATATAAAAGGTTTTTCTTTCATCAAAATTCTTAATAAATTTTAATTTAAGGAGAAAATAATCTTTATAAATGTATTCAAAAACATTAAGAAACATCTCTAAAATTATATATAATTGTACATAACAATCAAAGGATTTTGGGTTTGATGCGGAATACTTATATCATCCATAAAACCCATTAAATTTCGTTAATGTACAATTAATATTGATTTTAGGGCAAAAGCATTCTTTATGAAAGTTAGCTTTTTAATAGAGTTAGAAATTACTACATATTGGTTACTGCCTTTGGAGGATATGTTACATATTTTAGTGCCAAAAAATTATACAATTATTAAAATAGATCATTGGTTGGAATTCTTTTCTACTTTGGAATATTGGGCATTACATTTCGTTCAATGAGAAATATATAAACTCAATATCAAAGACTCTTAATGTAAATCATAATTGAATATTTAAAAGATAAATTGATCTGCTACCATGCGGTAGAAAAGTATTAATATAGTATCCCAATATTTATGGACTCACCTCATCAAAACAAATTGATATTGCAACAATTTCAAGACCAAAAGATGTCTATGAAAAAAACTTATAAAAAATGGAACATGTATTTCCTATAATTATGGATATGTAACTGCAGTATCTTCATCGTAACCCTGATTTTATAGTGAATAAAGAAATTTTACCTGCAGTAATGAATGCAAAATATATCAAAGTTGATTGAAATTATGTTATTAATTTTATTATAAATACAATCATTACAATTTGAGAGAAACTTTTATCACAAGTTATACAAAAAAGTATATCCTAAGTTTACTAAGGATTATATATAAGAGTAAAACTAATACCAAAATTTAGGAGAGTATCAAGGTTTCATTATCAAATTTCAATATCAGCTTTTCGCAAAGCGAATTCTTAAAACATGAGTATAGCTTATAGGAAGGATTAAAATAAAAATAATATTTTGGAATGCTTCAAATCTAAAATAACCAATTAAAATTAATCATATCCAAGACTTAAAAATGAAAAACAAAGCTAAATTTATACTATTTTTTTACATTTACCTTTATTATGATAATACATTGACTGTTCAGGATTGTTCTATATTTCTGAATCATAGCTCATCAATTCTTCTGTTAATTTGTTCATTAAACATATGAATAGCAATGATACTTAAATATATGATTAAATTTAAATAACTGAATTTATTATCTTTGGAAATATTAAATTAAAATTCTAAGATCTGTTGATCAATAATATTCATTAAACAGTTTAACTTATAAATATTTTTCCTACTATTTAAAAATTATAATGAAACAATTAAAGGACACAATATAGTATAATGAATAGAGATTTAGTTCTATCTAATCAATCTAGTAAGTATGAAAAATGTAAGATAAAACTATTTTCATAGAAATATTTATGACTTAATAGATAAACATTTAAAAGTCGTTCCTTAAGAGTGTTTCATTCCATAAAATTTAAAAGCTCGTAAGTAAGAAAAGAAAAAATGATTCGATTGATGGAAATTAGCACTCTATAGCAATTATAAGGAATATATCAAATTAAAAACTAAGATCAATTATTAAAATACCAGATGTAAACCTGCATATTTTCAGGTTTTTAGAATTTCGATGCATTTTACAAAATTTCTCTTTTACTAAAAAATCTTCTTTATCCTCATAATTGTATTTAGATAAATTTGGATTTAATCATATACAGACAATCAAATATGAGATCTTTTATATGTATGTATCATAAGAAATGGACCAAAACTTGTAAGATTTAGAATTGATTTTAATTGAAGTAAATAAAATATATAAAGAGATTCCTTGATTCATAACAATATGGAAGAACTTAGCAATAAAAACTATTACTCTTGAAATCATATCCATTTAATACCCAAAATTTCTATGAAAAAGATAGATTTAAATAATCTACTCATTTTTATATTCCTCTATAATAATATATATATAAAATTATCTAATGGCTTGAGTTTCTTACTTTTTACCAAACTACAAGATTTTTTCATTTTGATGGGTTTATCATTNAAATACAATCATTACAATTTGAGAGAAACTTTTATCACAAGTTATACAAAAAAGTATATCCTAAGTTTACTAAGGATTATATATAAGAGTAAAACTAATACCAAAATTTAGGAGAGTATCAAGGTTTCATTATCAAATTTCAATATCAGCTTTTCGCAAAGCGAATTCTTAAAACATGAGTATAGCTTATAGGAAGGATTAAAATAAAAATAATATTTTGGAATGCTTCAAATCTAAAATAACCAATTAAAATTAATCATATCCAAGACTTAAAAATGAAAAACAAAGCTAAATTTATACTATTTTTTTACATTTACCTTTATTATGATAATACATTGACTGTTCAGGATTGTTCTATATTTCTGAATCATAGCTCATCAATTCTTCTGTTAATTTGTTCATTAAACATATGAATAGCAATGATACTTAAATATATGATTAAATTTAAATAACTGAATTTATTATCTTTGGAAATATTAAATTAAAATTCTAAGATCTGTTGATCAATAATATTCATTAAACAGTTTAACTTATAAATATTTTTCCTACTATTTAAAAATTATAATGAAACAATTAAAGGACACAATATAGTATAATGAATAGAGATTTAGTTCTATCTAATCAATCTAGTAAGTATGAAAAATGTAAGATAAAACTATTTTCATAGAAATATTTATGACTTAATAGATAAACATTTAAAAGTCGTTCCTTAAGAGTGTTTCATTCCATAAAATTTAAAAGCTCGTAAGTAAGAAAAGAAAAAATGATTCGATTGATGGAAATTAGCACTCTATAGCAATTATAAGGAATATATCAAATTAAAAACTAAGATCAATTATTAAAATACCAGATGTAAACCTGCATATTTTCAGGTTTTTAGAATTTCGATGCATTTTACAAAATTTCTCTTTTACTAAAAAATCTTCTTTATCCTCATAATTGTATTTAGATAAATTTGGATTTAATCATATACAGACAATCAAATATGAGATCTTTTATATGTATGTATCATAAGAAATGGACCAAAACTTGTAAGATTTAGAATTGATTTTAATTGAAGTAAATAAAATATATAAAGAGATTCCTTGATTCATAACAATATGGAAGAACTTAGCAATAAAAACTATTACTCTTGAAATCATATCCATTTAATACCCAAAATTTCTATGAAAAAGATAGATTTAAATAATCTACTCATTTTTATATTCCTCTATAATAATATATATATAAAATTATCTAATGGCTTGAGTTTCTTACTTTTTACCAAACTACAAGATTTTTTCATTTTGATGGGTTTATCATTTTTTATTTTTAAATAATTATTACTTCGAAAAAGGATAGTATCAAATTCAATATAGTAATACACATATTGTATTTATATATTATCCTTTATCCTTAATTGGTTTTTCAAAAATTTGTTAAAGTATTTTTAACACATTAATCAAATTCATTTGGTCTTCTATCATTTAATTAATATATATGCATAGTTATTATAACAGTTACTTTGAAATAAATTATTTGTTATTTGTTGTTACTAAAATGTTATTAAATCGAGAATTTAAATAAAATTCAGATGATGATGAATTATATAATTCAAATTTAGTTTTATAATAAATTCTTAATATACTCTCTTCTTTTCAGGTTTACATGAATAAATAAGAAGGATTAATAAAGACTTTGTATTAATTAATCAGATTATGAATAAATTTTGAAGCTAAATCATTGGTCATTTTTTAGAATAAAACATATTGACAATTACACCAATTATTCCTAAGAATAACAAAAAGAGTGTGATGTCTAAACAAAACTTGTTTGGTTATCTAAATTTGATTAGGAGTTCTTTTAATTGTTTATTGGAGTACTATAATGTTTTATTGGTTTTATCAACTTAAATATGATTTTGGTGGATTTGACCTATTGTTTAATCAATTTTCTAATGAAAAAATTTATGTAATAATATTTACCTGTCTTATACCTTGTGCTTTTGCTTTCCATTATTCAACTCCATCTATAATTACATCCACTTTTTCATCAATTATTAGATCATTTTTAGCAAATCGATCCAAAGCTTCCTATTCATCTTTTGTGATTTGATAAACGACTTCTCTATTTGGTTTGTTTTTGTAAAGCTCTAAATAGATTATAATTCATATATAAATTACATTATTATAAATCTTTAAGAAGCAATGGTTTTTCGTTTTCTGTGTCTTCTGCACGCTCTCCTTATTCTCTTAATTTTAAATTCTCAACATTCTGTTTATATTTTTGTAATATCTTAGATCTAAGTTCGATTTCTTGAGGTGAATATTTCTTTCCATTTCTGCTCATCCTTTCTAAAGATTCGCCCATTTGTTTGATCATTCTATCAACTTCATGAATTTCATCTCTGATTTACACTCCTATTCAACAATATATTCAAACTATTTTACCCATAGCAATTTAATCTCTATCATTCCCATACTTAGCCATTTTCTCGTCCCTTTAGTCTTATAATTTGCTAATTTGAAATATCTTAGCAATTAACAAATCTTTAATAGTATCAAATTCTCTTGACTTTTTGACTTTTTTTGCTTTTTGATAGTACAATTATATTTACTGGCTTCTGCATTCCCTCCTAATTGTTTTTCAATGCTATAACATTTTTATATCAAGTGGTTGAGTTCGTTTGTATTCATTTTTATTTAATTTGTAATTAATACTAGATTATATACCCTTTAGTAATAAACCCTTTTAATTTCCGATATTGAAAATTTTAAAAATTAGAGAACAAAAATATAAAATATGTCATTGATTGTTTCTTTTATCATACCATCTGGCATTGAATTTATTAACCAATAATTAATTATTTTAAAGATTAAGAGAGCCTATTTTCAAATTTTCATCTTATTTATGTTTAGATTCAATTATTTACATACATTCTTTGGCACAAAATTGAAAATTTTATAATATCTGTTACTAAATAACAAAAGGTTATTATATGAAAGACTAATTCAAATTATTTCTAATAAAGGGAATCATTAGTAGACCAATAGTATAAAATTACCTAAAAAATATTTTCTATCAAGTTATAGATATAAAAGTTTTCCATTTGATATTTGGCTTATCTTATAATCATATTTATAAATATTATATTATAAATATAGTTAAGTTTTATATGGATTTTATATATGAGAATTTAGGGCCATTTATATTTGAGTCGCAAATTATTTCAGGGAACAGCTTCTTCTTTCATTTTTCAAGTTAATTGTTCAATACAATTCTTTTCATCATGCTAAAATACAAAATATTTATGGATAACTTTAGAAATAAGAAGATGGCAAATTAGTCTCTTTTGATAAAACTTTTAAACTATTCCAAAATTTTTTAAGGTTTATTATGTTCTATCAGCAAGTTAAAAATAGTAGTTAGGTATGAACTCGAGTACTGGGACAAATTTAACCATCATAGTCATTCTTCAATACTTTGAGAAATTTAAAGAAGCGTGGCAATAAATATTACTATTGACTAGCCTAGAAAAATCTAATATTAAAATAAAGTAATTCTTGCCAATTGGTCCAAGAATTCCAATTTTTTCTTAAAATGCTTCTTTACTGTAACATAAATAAATTATTGCATATTTTATTTAAAATCTTCTGAATTTCATCATCAGTTTGAGCACCCTTCTTTAATGATATTTTACATGATAACTAATTTAAGAAAATACCCAAAATAAAAGTTATCTAATTTAAGTTTTGTTGATCTAAAAAGTATAAGTAATATTTATTGCCATCACTTCATTTAAGTCCTCAGAGTATTGAAGAATCACTATTTTGAACAACAGTTGTCCCGGTACTCTGTAACTTCCTAGTTTATACAGATAAAGGAATGCTCAGTATAGTAATGAAAAATAGAACAAAATTTAAGCAAAATTATTTAGAGTGGCTTTGTCTTTGGGGGATTTCAAATAAGAAAAACTTTGAATTTCAACCCCATAATATAAACTATTTGATTTTTTCAAATTCATTTATTAAAGCTCTAATTTTATATTTCTGTTTGAATAATTAATTCTATAATAGAGTTTAAGTTAAAGAAAAAAATGTTTAGAAACTTTGATACTAATAAGAAATGTTAAATTCAGAAACAAATAAGCAATGGTTACTTTATGATATTAGAATAAATAATTATTTAAAGTTGAAACTAGAATTATTCATATGCTTAGAGTTTAACATTAAATTTATTTATATAATTAAATTTAACATGCGGGGATTCTTTGCTTTTGCAAAATAATTCGTTAGCTTTTCAACTGTTCAAACTTAATAAATTAAGATTGCAATTAGATTGTAAAATACAATAGCTAAATTTTTAGAGTTAATTAATCTGTAAATAGCTAATTTAGATTATGCTCAACATTGACTGCCTTAAGATTAAACAATTTATATGGACTGCATTAATCATCCACTCTTGCTGATTCTGATGGAGGTAAAAGTATGTTTAAATTTAGAACTTGTATTAGATGCTGCTATATAACAGTTATTATCGTTGTCTCTTAAGGCCGAACTGAATAAAATACATAATTCCTGATATTTTTATATTAATATAATCCATGAATATTGTGGTGTAATCATACCTCCATTCCTATTAATACTATAGCAGTATCCTAATATAAATAAAAATTGTTAATCCGATCAATCATTATGAATTGATTAACTCAAAATTAGAAATTCAATTATTAGTATAAGATAATAAGAGCATATTAAATCGATAATATATTAAACTGGAGAACAGTTTAATTTATGTAATTATCTATATTTATTATTAATTCTTGTAGGCTTAACAAGCAGCAATTTTTTCTCCATCATAATTTTGACATGCCCATCTAAACAAATCATTAATAATCTCGTCACCAGTCTCCTCAGTATATTGTTTATTGGCTACTGCCCAGGGAAATCCTTTATGTTTAGGAACTAAAATATCAGTTTCATTAGCAGCAAAATAAATGTACCAATTCTCCATGCTGAGTCTACATCGAAGACTTCATTTGCATCATAAGGAAAATATTATTCGCAGTGATGTGTAGTTTAAATAAATGAATTATTTGTATAAGGTTTTTAAATAAAATTTTCGAAAAAAATGGACAACTCCTGCTATTGGAACTTCTGCTGCAACTATACTAAATGCTTGCTGAATACTATCTTAAGCATATAATTCAATCAAATCTCCATAACCATCTTATTCTCCATGTTGACAAGTAAGTACCCATTTTCCATCAACAACTTATCTCTTAGAATTTCCATATGGAATCAATTTTATAGGTACCATTTTCTCAATGTCTGGAGTTGTAATAGCATTGTAAGAATCTTTAATAAATATCATACAATAAAGGCAAAGTGATTCAACATAAATATCTGCAGTCAATCTGCTACTATTGAAGATAAAGGGAGAGATTGCTAATATTAATAGTTTCATTATTGTTATATAATCAATGTATTAATCTCTCTTCCATTATCAACATACGTAATCTCTTCAATTGGATGATGTACAAAATTATTAATATATCATATTATCTCCAATGGGATAAAAATTTTAATGGATTATTAGGTTAATTTTATTTTATTATAAATTTCAATCATGGATCTATTATCATTGTTTTAGTTAATTCAATTTAAGAAATATGTCCAATCTATATTTAATCAATTTCAAATTACTCAATGTAAATATTCATGATAAAAGGGCTAAAATTTATAAAAAGTATATAAATTGTAATTTAATCTTACGATCAATAACAGATTATCCATCTGTTAAATCAAGTTTAACTTCTTTAAATACTCTAAAGTTTAATCAAATACGCTTTCTCTTTCTTTTGAGTAAATTCTACTTAGTCTAGTCTGTTGTAAAACTATTAGGTATATAATCTTAATTACTACCCTATGATATCAATTTATCTAAGCCTTCAATAACTCCAACAATCATATCCTTATATATTTTTTAAGAAGCTTTATCTAATAAGATTCAACTTTATCCCATTATTTTATCTTTTTAACAATAATTTTTTTTATTATTTTGATGAGTAATATTAATTATGGCAAATCCTTCATAAAATTTTACCAAATAATAATGTTTATTCTAAATCCTTAAATTTTAGATAAACACAAATCTGTAACTAGGTGTAGGTTTTAGTTCTATTTATTAATGTAAAAATTACTATTATGAGATGAGTAAATATTGTATCTAGGATTTATTTATTATTTTAATTAAAATGTCACTTAGTTAACTGTCAGGAAAGCAAACAATCAATTATGCAAGTATATTTAACAGTTAATCAATTCTAGAGAACTCAGACAAATGAGAACTCCAAATGATTAATAGTCATTTGGATTACGTTAAGAGAATCTTGATTAAATGATGTTTTAACATAATCCATCAGACACAATAAAACATCAGAGAGCTATATCTTCTTTTTAGAGTAATTACAGACAAGGTACTCCAATTACAGATTTGGAAGAATTAGAAGGAGAAAAATTGTTTGATTAATTTTTTAAGTTGAGTAATTCTAAAAGTGATAGTGATTTCATGAGGGATTCAGTCTAAAGAGAAACAAAGTCATCTGAGTCTGAATTTTTAAAATTTGTAGAAAATGCAATAGAATATCACAAATCATCAGAACTTCAATTCAGACCTGGAATAAAAAAGAATCCATAATTAGAGAAATAGATTAAGGAACTCACTATTTCAAATAGATTACTAGCAAATGAATTGAATCGTTACAAATAAAGAGAACATGATTTAAAAAATAAGGTGAAATCTATCTAAAAAGAATTCTAAAATGAGATTTCTTAGTTAAGTTAAAAAAATGAATGGTTGGAAGAACTGTTAATAAAATAGAAGATTGATAATGAGAATTCTCTTTTAGCCTTAAAATAATCATTAGAGATGATATAAGGAAAATGCAAATGTCAAAAAGGAATGATTGAAAAGATTATAAAGGACGTGAAATCATAAGTCAGACCTTAATTTGATTTATAAGCTACAAATTCTAGTTCAGAACTGAGTAGTAATACTGAGGAAGAAGAATTCCAATTCGATTTCTTCAAAAGAAGAAAATCTCTTTCTAAAGTAACAAATAATATTCTATAATTCAGAATTCAGAAGATCATTAGTTTTAACAAAGTAAATTGAAAAATCCAAAAGATTATGCTCGTGATTTCTTTCTTCGTAAAAAATCTGCCTAAGATCCCTATTACACATGAATAATTTCATATAAATTATAGATTAATAATTTTCAACTTATTTCGCATTGTAGAATTGGATAAATATACTAAACTATTTAACATATAAAACGTATCCGATCAATATTTTCATTTATTATTCACTTTTCATATTCATTATAATATATTGAATATTAATGTTAGTATTTTTTAATGTACATGATTGAGTTAATATAAATTATAATTTTCTTAACTTATTTTATATTATTATCAAATGACAGAACCTGCAAATCCAGAAAAGCTGTAAAATTAAAGATCTCGAATGATTGGCAACTATGTGATAGGTGATGATTTATTGATTCAGCAGGTTAGGAAAAACTCTTGGGTTTGGTACATTTGGGAAAGTGAAAATGGTAACCCACGAATAATCAGGTGAGAAGGTGGCTATCAAAATATTGGAGAAGGATAGAATAGTAGAGACAGCTGATGTGGAGAGAGTTCAAAGAGAAATTCACATCCTGAAATTAGTTAGACATCCGCATATTATTTAATTATATGAAGTATACATTATGTGATTCATATTCTAGATAATTGAGACTCCAAAACACATCTTTTTAGTGATGGAGATGGTGAGTGGAGGTGAATTATTTGATTACATAGTAAAAAATACAAAGTAATAAAATAATTGAAATAGGTTGGAGGAAGTTGAGGCCTGTAAGTTATTCTAAGAACTGATATCAGGAATAGAATATTTGCATAAGATTAGAGTTGTACATAGAGATTTGAAACCAGAAAATTTATTACTTGACAACAATAAGAATCTCAAAATTGTTGATTTTGGCCTATCAAATACATATAAGAACGAAGAGTTACTAAAAACTGCATGTGGTAGTCCGTGTTATGCTGCTCCTGAAGTATTCATTCATTAACAAATCTTAATTATTAGATGATAGCTGGTCGAAAGTATTAAGGATTGCAAGTAGACCTTTGGAGTTCAGGAGTTATATTATTCGCTTGTTTATGCGGCTATTTACCTTTCGAGGATCAAAACACTTCTGCCTTGTACTAGAAGATCTTAAGTGGCACATATTAAATGCCATCTCATTTATCAAGAGATGCTTAGTCAATGATCTCTGGTATTCTAACTGTGGATCCCCAAAAAAGATTCACAATAGAAGATATACATAACCATCCATGGTTTAAATTATATCGAAGATCATATGAAATTCCACCAGGAATTGTTGTCGGATATAATAGAATCCCAGTGGATTAAGATATTCTAAAATAATTGAAATCCTTTGGGATTGACATAGATTATGCGCAAAGATGTTTAGATGCAAATAAGCATAATGATGTTACGACATTCTACCATTTGTTATTAAAACGACATTTAGTAAATGGAGGTAGATCAACGGCTGATCTCAACTCTGAATCTTTCGACATTAAATTACTTGAACCAAAGCAAAGGCCTAATAAAGGTATATTTTAATTGTATTAGCAGCCACTATGAATTCATTATTGAATAATGAGAAACTGAAATAGTAAATGAGAGAAGAGATAATCAAATAGAGATCATATTCAACCGATAAAGATAGAGGACGGGTAGTTAAGAGTTCGGAATAGAATCATAGAATAATAGCTGAAAATGATTAAAGTGTTAATAGAATTGGAAAAAATGGATAAGCATCAAGTGTATAAAATCGATAAAAAGATGAAAATTATTTTGAGCAATCCCCTGTTATCAAAAAGAGCAATAAGTTACTTCATTCAAATTTGCATGGAACCAAAAATAAAAGTAGTAATATTGCATCTGCTGGCCATAGGTATAGGGATGAAGGTAAGAGAGGAAGCTCAAGAAATAAAAAGGATTTAGAGATGACTAATCCTTATAGAAATGCTAATAGGGATCCTTAATAAACAAATAAATTTGTTCAAAGTGGAAGCAGATCTCAAAATCATAAGAAGGACAGAGCTTAATTTACCAATTAGACCAATTTATCCTTTGATGCTCTTCAGAATCCAAATTAAATAACTAAATAGAAAGCTTATCATATAGGATTTTATGAATGATTAAAATAAATATTATTTAATTTTTAATTATAGTAATTAATTTATGATTGATTTTTTGTATGAAAATGAAGTTTTGATTCTGCTGATTTAAAAAATGTAATTCTCTTTACTTTCATATCTAAACAAATTCTGCATATACCTCATATTTAATTTTCAAACAAGAGAAATAAGAATTCCTATTTTAATAGAACCAAATCAAATCAAATCGGATTCAAGTTATAAATTCAAAAGCATCGTTAATCCTTCAAACTTTGAATCGTTATGTTGTTTAATAGATATCAAATATTCTTTACTGCAAACTTAGTTAAAAATGATAATTTTTCAAATTCATTTTCAGTTACATTTTCTGAGATAGAAATTGGAGATTCTTTCCGTATTTGCCAATATAGTGTAGATAACACTAAGAAATTAGAATTAAATCAGATTTGGCCTATTAATTTCATCTATAGAGAGCAGGATTTTAGTAGAACAATCTAAATTTTTGAATCTCTAAAATTTCACACTTTTGGAAAATTAGCTAGCGTAAATTGATGTATTGAAACACGATGATAACATAGTCTCATGGTAAACATCATAAAAAAGGAAGATAATATAATATTCAAGTTTTTATTAAAATAAAATCTTGTAATATAAATGTTATTAGGATATTTTATAATAATATTAATTAAAAAAAAGAACTTTTATGATTAATAATTTGTATTAAAATTTCTTATTGCTAATTTTTATTTTAAAACTAGATATGCGCTAATACATTAGGAAATCAAATTATTGATAGATTTTTGAAGAAGAAGGAATGGTGAATTATTGCCAAATAGTGAAACTATACATTTTTGGTTGTTTTTTATCTGAAAAATTATAAAGGACCATTAGGATAAGGGATGGATTCACAAAAGCCCAATATTCAACACATATTAGTTGAGACGATCTAAACATTAAATTACAATTTATTAAAACACTCTGCTACAATACTTTCTTTAATTACCTTTAAACATAAAACTATCATTTATTACGATACCTTAATAGATTTTTATTTTTAATTTCAAATTAAGCTTAGATTATTTAATTGCGCATCAAATTTCAAACGTAGTAAAATTTTAAAAGTAAGTTAGAGGAATACTGTTTTATTCTATTGATTAAACATCAACTTAGATTAATTAATTTGATAGCAATTTGCTTAAAACTGGGTTGATTGGTGAAGTTTTTCTCTTTCTTCAAACTCCTAACCAACCTCTAAGTGAATTAGGAATTTCTTTTTTATCCTTTGATTTTACAAATAAAAACTAAAAATTTCAAGGTCCTTTTTCCACCTTTTGAAATTAGAGTGAAGGCTCTCTCAAAGAACATCTGATGTACATGTTTTGATTCTAAAAATTTTAATAACCCTCTATTCTTGAAACATCAAAATATATTAATAGGGTTGATGTAGCTAAGCAGAAATTTGCGAAATCAGCACTTTGAGTTTCAAAAGTCAAATGACAATAAATTCATTTTAGCAATATCTTAAATTTTTATGATGAATTTTCCTTCAAGGCAAAAAATCTATACCAATCAGATTGATTAATATATGCGGTAACTTCTAAATTTGCGTTGCTATAATTTGTTTGTTATACCATCTTGACTCTGTTTATGAATACTTTATATTTAATTTAATTACATTAATTGCCATGACTCCTGAATTCCCTGACTTAAAATAATAAAATTTAGAAGTAAGGAAATAATAATAAAAATAGCTATAACAAAAGAAAGAAGGAAAATTATAAACAATTGCGAATTCTATCTATGCATTGTCAATTATGATAAACAACAAAGAATAGCATCAAATTACTTAAATAAAGGATAGTTTATCACTATTATTGGATAATATGTTTAATATTTTGGAAACACCCTCGATGAGATTTACAATCTAGCCATAATTAGCTTTGAAAAATCTGCAATTTAGTAAAACCGATAGGATATCATTATATTCAAAGAATCCTAGTTTTAATCCTTTTTTTAAATCAGAAAATTCGTAGAGCCTGTTTGAGTAAATTAAAGAAGCACAGCAATTAGTAATATCTTATTAATATTTGATAGCAAATGAAATAAATATTAGGTAATATCTTGATTTTTGATATATAAAATGAGAAAAGAAAATACAATGACTGTTTTATAGCCGCATGTTAAATGAATGAGAAATCAAGTTTTTGTTTATATATATTTAGATAAAAAGATTATATTTATTAACTTAACAGGAGTTGATCATTGTGATGAGACACTTTAATATGAATTTTAGGAGAAATTAAATTATTGTTATTTGAATTTCAAGGAGTTCCAATACTTAAAGTAATATAATAAATTAAATTGTGATTAACTTTATGAAAAGAAATTTCTTAATATATATTTTAATTATGGAGAAAGCAAGATATTTTCATGGGATTAATTTAAATTAATATATAGACTTCATATAAAAAAATTGATCAAGAGAATTAGCTCAAATATATTTATATTATCAATAGCAAAATCTCTTAGTGCAATTGTAAGATTCTCTATTCTATATATAGCCCTCAAAAGAATTTATTTAGTTTGATGATGACTGTTTGCGACGAGTCATTTAGAAATTTTGTAAATTAGGGCAAGAAAAGTTGTTTATTCATTTAGTACTTTTAGATTCAGAGTCTGGATTTCCTATAGAGTTGAAATAATTAACTAATGGTTAAAATTAAGATTTGGTTAGGTTTATAAATTGTATCTTTTAAGGAGTCATAGGTAAAAAAATTAAATCCAAAGTGGATTTTGATTTAGATACTTATAGATATTAGAATCCAATCAAATACATAAATTGGTTGCAGGAATTTGTAAAGATATAAATTCAAGTAAAATTGGATCCGATATTCTTAAACATGTATAAGAGAGAACTAAGGAACTTGTTCATGAGCAACACCTAAATCTAGTCCGAAGAATTCTTATAAGAATCAACATTAATGATTTTGAACAAAAATGAAATTTACAGAAAAACTCACTTATATTATGAGCAAAAAAAGTTGTAATTCCTATTTAATTCAATCTTGCTAGTTGATTACGATACTGAATTGGTCGTTATTTTGAAATAAGATGAAAGTGAAAAGGATCTCTATTATTTATACTACACCCAAATTTACGAAGATTAAAATGAGCTTTAATGGTATTTAATTGTTATATTAAACAATCAGCCAAAGAATACTATTAAATAAGTACGTTGATGATGTGTTATTGATTGATTCCCACAATAGAGCTAGTCTATCTGTCAAAAAGATGATCCAAGACAAAGATCAACATCAGAAAGATTACAAAATTGTTTATATTCATTCTTTAAACAGTGATATTATTTTGGAGACACAGCTTCTCGATAACCCCATAGTAAGAATAATAGAGAGGATGATGAAAAAATAGAATTATGTTGAAGCTTAAAACTTGGCAAAACAAAAATCTATCATAAGTGATTAATATCAAATATCAAATCTATTAAAAAATCGAAGAGGACCTTGTGTTGTATAAAATTCACCAATCTCAGAAACTGATTTTATGGTAATCGGAGGAGAACTTTCAAAGTAACATCTTTCTAATTATAAATAGCGATCGATCAATATGCAATGTTATGGAGATTGTCAAAGTTGAGTAGTTGGCTTCATTAGGATTCCATTCATACATATTATAAAAGGAAGTGCTATTCGCTTAAGGATCATTTTTCCCTTGGCCTTATATGTTTGTACTGTCATCCAATCATAATCCTTAAATATAATACATTTTTCTGCCTGGAGATTATAACAATTTAATTAACTGTTATAGTAGGCCTATTGTAAATGTCTATTAGTATTATGCTTATCAACTGACTACCTAAAAAGATAGTTTCTATTTTCGATGGCAAAAGCTAAACATTATATATGATAATTCTAATTTGGGCAGCTCCTAACCTTTTCCTATACAATATTTATCAGGAAATCAAAGTAATATCTTGTGTAAGGAGGATTCAAATATGACTAAGTGGATTATTGCGAAAACAATAAATAAGTAAATTTTATTAGGTTCTAAAGGCAAAACAGAATTCTTCAAATGTATGGAGAATTTGGATTCTAATGTTTCACTTAAAGATATTGAATAAATCATAATAACTGCGGAAATCTATGTCTAGGAGAGCAATCTAATAGTGAAAGAGAAATATTATGAAACCAATAAGTAATTGATTCTGAAAAAGAATATTGTTGATCTGAATAGAGAGGATCTCATAATATTTGAGAAACCAAAAGAAAATTGAGTAATAAATTTAATTTGAGATATAAAGTAAATAGATTATTCTAATTTTTAATAAAATACTAATATTAATATCTCATAATGCCCATCTTGTTTTGTTTGTATCTTTTCTTGTATATCTTTTGGTTTTGGTGGCAGCGACATGTCTATGTCTTAAGTATTTATGATTGTGGTATTTGAGATCTTTCAAACCATAATCAGCAACCAACCAAAGGAATCCTTAATAATCATGAGTTCTCAAGTAATACATAGCCTTTCTTCTAGCAGCCAATAATTTTGTAAGTGTCAAAGCACAATATTTGTCTTACCTATTTTTTTCCATGTGATTCATCAATGAGATGACTCTTTCATTCAATACGGCAGCTTTTACTAAAGCACTTGCAGTGTCTAATGGCCATTTCTAATATTTTTTAATTGCTTGTTAAATTCGATATGCAACAATTTAGCTATCAGTAGCAGTATTAAGTCCAAATGCTTTTTGAACTAATGGGCTGGCTTCTCTCATTTCCTCAGGTTCAAATCCATGTTAGTATCTTAAGGATTTAAATTAGTATTTGATACCTTTATCCCAAAGTCAATTTAAAATCCTTTGTAATTTGCTGTGCATTTTCGATTGGTGATTCTTTTTTGTAGATCGAATGTAAGAATTTATGGGATTTTCTAACATAAATTTCACTATCTAAACCTCCTTTGACTCTTGAAAAGAATGCCACACTTCTCAATAATTGCAATTATTTTGTCAGCATATAATAAAATTATTTTTAATACGTGTAAAACAATGGCTCCTACTTAAGAGTTCAAACCTCTAACCCATTTCTTAAGACCACAATATGTGTACTTATCTTTGGCAAGCTTAGTGTTAATACATGTGCTAACACTACTTACAGAGGTTCGTCCAGGTATATCATTAGTTGTTCAATCTTTGGCATGTCTGTACATAGGAGCTATGGCAACATCTAAAATCAGATATAACAAATGTATATATTAAAATGTAAAGCAGAAAACAATAAGTTGGAGAAGGAAGAAAAATAGTCAGAAGAGAAAATGACATAAAAGGATGCTTTATAGTTTCCAATCTATTTATCTGCCTACTTATTTGGACTCTATCTTTTGTTGAAATATTTAGATGAAGCAATTCTCAAGACTGCCATAACTTTATTCTTCTCAGCAGTAGGAGTAATGAAATTCAATTACATTAAAGGTCTTATGTTTAATGGGAATCATAGAAGATGCCATAGAAAGATTATTCCCAATTGAGTATTCTACTAAAATAGTAGTGGAAAAGAAATTCAATTTAAATTTGATATTGACAAGCAAGGAAATAGATATCCAATTAACTAAGTTGAATTTCATATCATTATTCATTTCAATGTTCCCCTTGGGTGTGTATTTAGCATCAAAGAATTGGATTTGCAATAATTTATTCGGTATCGCCTTCACTGTTTCAGGAGTTGCAAATTTTACTGTCATCCCAAATTTCAAAGTATATACATAGATGTAATTATATTAAGATAGCATATCTGATGCTTTGGGGACTCTTTTTTTATGACATTTTTTGGGTTTATGGAACTGATGTGATGGTTACAGTTGCAAAATCTATTGATGCTCCTATTAAATTACAATTCCCATTTACTGCCTTGAATGAAGAAGGAAATCCATTTACAAAATACAGCATTCTAGGTTTAGGTGATATTGTTGTACCTGGTATCTTTGTTGGAATGTGTCTGAAGTATGATGTTGATAGACAAATTGAAAAAGTAAAAAAGATTTCAGAAATCAATATCACTTATTTCTTATGGTGTTTTGTAGGTTATGCTATAGGAATTGTGGCTACCTTGGCTGTTATGAATTTAACAGGTCATGCTCAACCAGCCTTGTTGTATTTAGTTCCAGGATGCACATTAAGCGTCTTAATAAAGGCTTATCTTGATAAATCTCTTCTTCAGTTTTGGGCCTATGAAGCAGACCCAGAGAAGCCAGAGGCTTAAACATCTAATACAGAACCTATTAAAAATAAATGATATATTGTTTTTAATAAAAATAATTTATTTAATTATGGACGATTAATAAACAGAAATCAGGATGATGTACAAGAATTTAACTACAGATTTACGAAACAAATATAGTCCTCATTATAATCTTTACCAAGTACTATTCATTCTCACAATAGAAATAAACTTTGGATGAAAAAATCAATTGTTTCAAATAAAATACCTAATAGCCTGATTTGTATTATAAATGTTTTGCTGCTATTGACGAGAGAATGTAATCGAACTCTGTTCAATTGCAATAGTCATTTAATAAGATTGAAATTGAAGATTCAGGATGCTAATAAAAATGCAAAGATTCCTACCAACAAGATAATCTTAAACAAAATATGTGTCTAAAGAAATGCATGGAGGATTTAAGAGATAAAGCTTTCAAATTATAAGATACATTCTATCAGGCCATCTTAAAAAGTAATCCCGAATTTAAAAAGATCAAGTGAATCTTAACTTGTTCATATATTTATATCTTATTTATTAAAACATAGTTTCCTCAACATAAAGATGTTTAAAATATTAGAGTTATTCAACTTCTTGATAATCTTTTGAATATTCTTTAACATCTTATAATATCCATTTACTATATTGATTGAATTACAATATATCTACCCAATACAAAGTAAAGGCAACTAATATCTATTTGAACTACTTCTCTAAGTACGTCTTCACCCATTTCATCTTATCCTCTATCTTTGAGTATTCTTATTAGCTACTTAAATCATAAGAATATGAGCCAATCTTATGATAGTTTCTGCATTATTTTTTTTTAAATTTGTAATTCACAGGCTATTTACCTATTTATTCATTGTTTCCATTAGCAAATGAACACTAATTTTTATCCTCGAGCCATTTCCCTAAAATTTTCATGTTCCATTTGATTAGTTCTTGCAAATCTAGGTTTTCTTGTTATCTACAATGACACAATCAAAATTTTGTTAGAATTTATTTAAATTAAGAATGAGCACAACAAATGCTTCTAGAAAATCCTTCTTATTTAAATATCCCAAAAAGCAGACGAAATACATTTTAGATTGAATAACATGCTCTTACAACCAAGCTTTATATAGCATGGCACAGAAATCTAGATCCATTTTAATTTTATAATAACATTAATAATTATATGAATTTCCAATTAAATTACAATACATAATATGAAACACGAGCATATTATAATAGATGTTTATTTAAATTTGAATATAAAATATAAAGCTATAATATGAATAGGATAATATTATTGGACTAAAAATTGTAAATTAATTATGATGATTATTAACGTGAAAATCAGGACTTTATATTTTTAATTGAATGATAAGATATTTAGTAATAAAATTTATAAATGGAGAACACATTCTTAGATGATGAAGTTCAAGATCTCAATACTTGGGACGAATATTCGAATTAAATAATCTTCCCTTCTCCTTTATTGTTGGGACGACCTTCTCCCAGGGTCAAATACCTCCAAGAGGATTTTTCATTACTGCAGCTACCGTTTTAATCAGACACAATAGATGAGGATCAAGATCTCAATAATCCCATCTAACCTGTAGAACATATGCTCAAAATGACCAAAAAAATAGAGAAAAAAACAAAAAAGTTCAAAAAATAATCAAAAACAAAAAACCCTATCTTAAATGCTGCAAGGGATTTCTTTTCTTCAGTCAAATAAAGTAATCCAAATCAACAAATCTAACAATTCTAATAGATGAAGTAATTGATCGATAACTTGGAAGGAATCTTAGGACAGGTCAAACATGAACTTCTAATCAAAGTCCAATAAAAGGGATCTCGAGTATGATCTTATTTAGTTATATGTTCTTATAAATATATTTATTAGAGTTGACATCAAACTATAATCATATTTATTAATGAGTAATCAGCCCAAAGAGTTATTACGAAGTTTAGTTTACAGCTGTACTTGCCTTAATTTATACTTGTAAAGAGTATAATAAATAATAAAAATTTCAATAAATAAAACTGCACTTCCATATTTAACAATGACAATACTCAAAATCCCTCATTGTTCTCTCAAACTTTAATTTGAAAGTGTAAATCAAAGGGCAATTATTGGAGAACAGTGATTTATTAAAAAACCATAAAATTTTGTTATGTTTGAGTATACTATATAATATTTAGAAAAACTGTGATTTTGGATTCAGATTAAATTCAGATTCTTAGGATTAATGATGGGCAGCTGTCGTTATATCAATTAGAAATTTGGAAATAAAGCTTCTGAAAGCAAAAAATCAAATATTGAATATCTTTTTGACACCAGAATGGAGTGATGAATAAAATGAATTAGAAATTTAAAGTAAATTAATTTGCGAGACGTTCCCAACGTTTTTTAATTAAAATAATATTGCTGACAAAAATATTTACATATATTATAATTCTAAATGGAGATTAGTCATTTGATAAGCAATGTGTATGAATAAGAAATCGATACTGAAGAGGATTATCATAATCAACTATAATGGGATAGAAATATGCACTTTTCATTGTTTGGATTGCATAGTCCTGAACTCTCAGTAATCGAAAATGTCTCCAATTATGGAAGCTAGTTTGATCATAACTTCTCTCACTATGATAATTCTGGCACCAAAGACTCTGAAATAGTAGTTTGTAAATCTAACAAAAAAATTCGGAAACGAAAATAAAAAAAAAGTTGTCTTCTTAGCAAAAGTGAATTTATTAAAAGTTTGCAGAAAATAGAATAATGTCAATCCATATAATTCTTTTTGGATTAGTTATCTCACTCTGTCAAAACAATGAAAGATCATTTATGCAGAAAATTTGCAAAGGCTAGCGATAAATGAATATCTAAACTTTCTATTTAGATATTATGATTTATAATATATTTACATTATCAAAAATTTCTATTTAAAAAAGACGATATTATCTGCTTTTGACAAGTGCGATATACTAAACATGAAAAATATATATAAATATAATTCGACTAGTTAAAATATATGAAAATCAATAGAATCAGGGTTTGAGTTTTGTTGATAATACATATAATAATTACAAAGAAAATCATATAATCGTTGCTTGAAATCAAGTCTTCATCTTCTCTTAATATTTTTACATTTCTTTTCTATATGAAAAAACTTCAAAATTATATCCATTGCCTTTATAAAATTTATTTTAAAATTCAACCCAATGAAGTCTCAAAGCATGTAAAAAGCATTCCATCGAATCCATACATAATAAAATACCTAAAGTGGATAATAAAAAAACAGGCATTCCTACAAGAGAGGCTAGTAAATTAGCATTTGCAATTGGATCTTTTAAAGTTAAATCAAATAGCACTTTGGCTAGTTCAGAATGAGCCAAAGACAATGCCCATAATCTCAGATAGCTAGCCGTATTGCTGATGCATCCAAGTACAAATTCTAATGTTTCTATAAGATGTTCAACAATAATATCTATATAGGATGAATGTTAGGATTGTTCAGAAATAATTTCATCGTTGGATGAATCACTATTCATATTTTAAGGAACCATTTCAAATTCTTATAGACTTTTAGGATCTTTCTTTTTCCTTTTCAACATAGCAATAATATCTGCGATTATTGGAGCAAATAAAAGAAAGGGTATACATAAAATGCAAATAACAATGATAATCTTTTACAATTGAAACTGAAAATCAGCAGATTCAAAAGTTTTTAAAGTAACTTATCCATCATGCATCCACATGTCAACTAAAGTAGTAATTATACTTGGTGATTGAGATGTATCTAAATGGAATGTAGACCATTTTATTATTATTAACAATACCATATAACCTATGAATAAAGTGAAAAATAACAGTTTTGCTGGGAAAATTATGGAAAGATTGATCCATTTTTTAAAATAAATGTAGTTAAATCCTGAACATAATATTCCTAATAGCATTTAACAAAAACCAATAATAATAGCCAATTTCATTTTATATGAATTTCTAAAGTTTAAATCTTCATATTATGGATCAAGTCCAAAAGGGTATGTGCAATCAGTCTTATTTAAGCATGATCCAAAGATATTTAGAGAAAGTCCAAAGTATTCATTGTAAATAAATCCAGTATAGAGAGAAAATGCTCCACATAGTAACAACATGTATCTTAAGTCAAAAATTATCTAAGTTAAATTGAAATCAGTATTGAGATCCTCATCATTAAAGTCTTTTGAGTTTATCTATTTTTTTACTTGTTAGCCCAATTGTATTCTTTGTTCTCTTAGCATCTTTTATTCTGATCTTGGAGAGAAGATCTTATTCATAGATAAAAATATTCCAAATATCAAAATAGCAGCTCCGTGACCAATATCTCCAAACATAACTCCGAAAAGAAATGGGAAAGTAATTATAGAAAATATTGAAGGATTTATTTCTTTATAATCAGGAATTCCATATGTTTCAGTAATCAATTAGAATAATTTGTTAAATTGGTTGGTTTAAAAAAAAGTTGGTGGTTTCTAATTGGCAATGGCATTTTTTTTAATTTAAGGAGCAGGAATATGAGGATTCTTCATTTTAATTGTTTAAAGAATATCTTCTAATAATTGAATCTCACTTGTTCTGACCCACAAATTGGCCAGAAAGATACTTTATTGCATCTTAACTTTATTCAAATTCTCATATAAAGTCCTTTCTCTCACTAAATAGAATCGGATGAATAGTAATGATGGTTATGCATTCCCATCTTCCAATAAAGGTTTTAAAATGGATTATAATAATTGATTAGTCAATTTATCCATGTTTTCTATTTCAATTATCTCCTTATCATAATCACAATATCTTTAATCCCATTATTCCTCTGTTATTGGCAAGGAAATGTGGTCTACTTTCAATACATCACAGAGCTTTTTAATTTTCCTCCAGGTTTCTGATTATAGTGAAAATGAAGGAAATATCAATAGAAAACAACTTCTTGAAACAGATAGCAGAGTTTGATTGACCATAAAGTTACCCTTTGTGATACGAAACACTGTTCTTTAAAATATTTAATAATCTTTGGCATCCATTACTCCAACAAAATGAGTAAATTTCTAAGAAGGCATCATGCCTCCATGCTAATGATATGATTTTATCATTTATTCATCAAAGTCTAATGCAGTACTTGATTTACTATGGAAATAAGCGATTCCTAACCATTTCCTTGCGTTAATCATAGCCTCTTTAGCCTCTATAGTGTTTTATAGTTTAGATTTCAATCTAGATAGGGTGTCAATTTATTATTAAACTTATTGATATTTTCCAGTTATGTATTCCTCAATTTAATTTATAAATGTATGTTTTTGAATTTACTTAAATGATAGGACTCTCTATATTACTAATATTTTCATACATCAAATTCCTACAGCATCAATTTGAAATCATAAACATGTTCTATTGTTTAGCCTATTTGATTTAATTAATTGAGTAGATACTCTGCTTTACTCAATATTTCATCACATCTAACATTAGTATTTTTAATTACCTTTAAACTTAATTAATAAAAGGTTTAGACAGTAAGTGCTAATGATGGTCAATGATCATTACACTATCTATCTAGCCTAATTCACTCATAACATCATAAGAGGATTCCCTTGGAATCAGCAGCTAATAAAGACTCATGCCTTCTGATCTAATCATTAGATGTTATAAAAATTTATAAATATAATAAAAATAGAATTACTCTTTTTCTTAATTTCAACCATTTTCAAATGCAAAACTTAATAATTATGATTCATTAATTTCTGATCTAGTAAACTAATTTTAAGATAAGCTTTTATTATTGAAATAAGTCTTTAAAGTGAAAAGATAAGTTATTTTGGTAGACATAAAATGATGGAAACATATTCTTTATATTAGAAATTGATAATCAAGAAGATGCATAACCATTAATAAAGATAGGATAAATATAAAATTAAATTAATAAGAAATACTAAAATTAATTCAAACAGCTCTTTGATCTTATGAAACATATTTTAACTTTAAATAAATTTGCAGTTATATTTGAAGAAATAAATTCATTTTTACATTAAACCTCCAAATTATTAAATATGAAAAATTAAAAACTGAAATTAAAAGAAAATGATGATTTTGTATAAATTTACTTTGATGCTTTTTCTAAAGCCATTTCAGGTACAAAAATTGAGAACTATTAACAAAATCATTAGAAAATCAATGAAAAATTCACTCTATTCGAAGATTTATCTATACTAGTGAAATTACATAGTCCTTCCAAAATTACTCAAAAAAAGGGATTCTAAGATATAGCCCTGATTTTATAACGATCCTCCATAAGTATAAGAAATAGGTATTGATTTAATTAAAGCAAGATATCAATAGTACTTATAACATCTTAATAGTCAAGACTTTTTGAAGATCTACTAATATTTATAGAAACATGGTATTGATGGTTAACTCAATTTTTAACTTGAATATGGGAATTGTTGGAAATTGAAGGATATTTCATCTATATTAGAGTCTCCAATATACAACTTGATTGACAGTCCAATAAAGTAAGCCAAAGATAATGAGTAAGCTTAGAAATGCAAATCTAATTTTAAAAGGTTAAACCAAGAAGAATAACCTATTGAACCTTAGGTCTAAAAGAAAATTAAGTTTTAATTTTCAGCTAAGTATTTATTAAATTAAAAATAGCTCGAAATACGACAAATCAAGTAAAAAGTAATGTCCCTTTCAAACTGAATAAACACTTTTGAATATAGAGCAAAAATAAACAGCAGAAGAATTAAAATATACTTTAAAATTATTGTCGAATTTGTTGAATGCATCTTATAAAGATCTTGTTCATAAAATGTATTAATGCTCAGGAGATCTTAATACTCTTTTGAGAGTATTCTCTCATAGATAAGAAGGATTGCTTTGGACCAAAGAGGCAGATGAAGCATTAAAAGCTTATTTAGAGTAGAATGACCTTTTAGAAAAATAAAAACTGAAAGTAATCTTAAATGGTGAAGAATCAATACAACAAAGAAAAGAATGGTTATATGAATGATTTATAACTAATTATAGTATTTATCAATATTATTTTAATGATGATAAAATAAATTTAATAAAGTAAGAACTAAAGGTATGAATATTAAATATTTTGATTAACCCTCATTTATTAGCAGTAGCATCCATTTTGAGAATATCTGATGGTAACATTATATGATTTCTAGATTCAGCTAAAATAGCTGAAATTTCTCTAGCATACTCTATTCTTCTAACATCCAAAAATGCTAATTTATAAATAGAATTTTAAAATACCTGGATTGGTTAAGGCAGATTTTCCTACCAACTCAATTGATTTTGCCTCTCCCAAAGCCTTAATAACAATACTTTTCTTGGCCTCTCTTGCTTACTCTACAACGAATTTTGCTCTTTCAGCTTCTTATTAAGCTACTTGTTTAGCTTCAATAGCCTCGATGTATTCCTTTCCAAAATTGAGTTCTGTGATTGAAACATCATCAATAGCAATTTTGAATTGAGCAGCTCTCTAATCCAAAGCTTATCTAATTTTGAATGAAACTTAATCTCTTTGACTCATTAATTATGATGCTGTATATTAAGCTACTACAGATCTCATTGTTTCATTGACAATTGATGGTAGTACTTTTTCATCGTAATCAATTCCTAATGTTCTATATATAGTTGGTAGTTCATCACTAAATGGTCTATGAAGTACTCTAACTGTGAGAAGAACATTTTGCATGTCTTTTGTATTTAGAATAAAATATTACCTCTATTAGCTGTGCTAGCTTTTATTTATCTAGGTCTGGTTTAGATGTTATAATCAATTGGGGTTTCAAAATAAGGAATTCTAAAATGCCATCCTTCCTTGTATTTTTCATCTTAGAGACCAAAGAACTTGCTAAACTTAATTGCGCAATGTCCTGGTTCTACTGTAAAGAAACAATTTTTAATCAAGAAAAGACCAAACAATCCTGCTGATCCTAAACTAATAAGTCTTTTTGCTGATTCAACTTGGTTAGCCATCTTTTGTTATATTATATTTGTGTTGGAAATTTAATTAATTAAAATTAAGTTTTATATATATTATTTAAAATTATAACAGAAGGGTAAAAGTAGAAATATATATTTATAATAGTTAATATTTCTATTTCTCATACGATTATTAAAATATAATGATTTCAATCTAGATAACATTATAAGTATTCTATAAATTTAATATGTACAGATATGATATCCTAATATTTACATCCATCTCTGAGATTGATTAACTATCAAATTTAGACTGTATCTTGAATTATAGAGGAAGTTTATTTTATAAGATATTTTAGAATTAATATTATAATATTTTAAATTGATATTTGATAATAAAATCATAAATTAATTTAATGATTTTAGTCTATTTTATAGCAAATATTCCTTAATTGGATCTTAGAATTATCATACTTTTAAATAGTAATTATAGCATTTGCAATATGATACTTTTATATCATAATACAATAGATAGCAGATAACATTTCTAAAGAGGAACCAATTCATAAGCAATTCCAGAGTTGAGTTCCAGATTCTTAATTCAAATTATCTTTAATCTAAAACCTTCATAATAATATTTTAATATAAGTTGAATTAATTAAAATTCTTATTTAATTTAATCCAACTCCGGGGATAATTGTGATCCTTATGGTCAAAGACTTAAATTAGGGTATTATTACACAAATTATGATAAATAAATGATGCAATATATATTACTTATAATACTTAATAAATTTATTGCCAATAATATTATATAGTCTTATTGTGCTTAAGTATTCTTGCATATTTTTGATAACAACGGTATAGATCAATGGTAAAGATTAAAGAGACTCGAATTTTGAATATGAGAAAGATTTATTAGAATATAAGCATAACATTTATTAATGTAACCTATATAAAATTTGTGTCATTAATTTCCTATGTAATTCAAAGATTAGGTTAATTATACTATTTTGAAATATTTGGAGCTATTGACATTAAAGGCAAGTAATATCAATTCAAGATTTTATTTTTAGATATGGATTCCAACTAAAAATGTTTATAATGAAAGTGACTAATAAGAGATTGATGAAATTGTGTAGATTATGAACAATGATTTTCTTATTCAAATCTGAATAGAGATGATGTTCCATGGATAATTGTAAATAGTAATTTTTCAATGTATTCTACTGTGTTGTTATTTGAATAATAATAATATTATAAATCATTCATTTTAAGGATTGCTTTTTTAACTAATTCACATTCATTACATATTATCCTGTATCAAATTTTCGTTTTAGACCACTATCAATCATATATCGAATATTCCCAAATATCTTTCTACCTGTCCATGGTCTATCATGTTTTCCAAAACACCAAGCTACTCCTGTATACCCATTTGCATCCCTTCCATCTAAATGGTATTTATCATTCAAATAAACCAAAAATTCAAATGCTTACTATGGAGATTCTGTCCATTCTATTACCTTCTTACCCCAATACATTCTCATATACCCACTAATCTTACCTTTATGAATAGCTTCAAGTTATGCGGAGTTCCAATATACATCATGCGTTTTTGCCTTTTCTAACTGATCCAATGTGTAAATATAATCCCTCTTATCTTTAGCGTGTTCTTAAAGTGTATTTTTAGCCCAATCAGGCAATCCTTCATATTTATCATACAAATCGTTGTAATAGCAGAAGTTCATTGATAATTCTCTTCTTACAATTAATTCTTCTAAAAATGACTCTCGACTTTCGGATGGTGGAAATTTCATAGCCTCTAAGTATATATGTAATGGAGAGATCATTCCAAAATGTAGATAGGGTGATAGATTAGATGTTGCATTGAGTGATGGATCATTTCTGTTTTTAGCATAATTTTTTAATTTCTTATTCAAAAACTCTTCCAATCTCTTTTGTGCTTCTATTTCTCCTCCTTTAAATTGTTAAACAATCGAAACACTTTTATCAACTCCTAAATCGTCTATGACTTTTGAGATGTTGGAGATGTCATACTCTTGGAATGGTAATTTATCCATTTATTTGACTAATGTTTCCTCATTCAATTCTTTAGCAAAATATTTAGTAAGAGATTAGATTTTGGGTCTAATTGTCTTCGCTGCCCATTCCTCTTTTTAACTTGCTTATTCTACTGGCACCAAAACATCAGTTTCTACTTGTATAAATTAACAATCAATAGTGTCTGCTACCTTTTTTCTCCATTGTTTTTAGATTCGAAGGTAGCCACAATCAACTATGAGTAATTTAGCATTTTGAGCAATGGAGATAGCCAATTCATCTGGAGATTGTTTGGCAACTCCAAATAGTATTTTTCTATCTGCAAGGCTAGTTTTTAATTATTACAATCCTTTATTTTTTTAAGACTAATTGAATACCCTCTAACATAAAGTGATAAGGTCTTTGATTGGCAGCAGGATATTTAGTTAGTCCAAAGAAACAGAATAAGGGTATTTATTCTTGATTAGCCTTTTAAATGGCCAATTCAAGAGCATGATTGTACTTGGTTCTCTAACTGGCTTAGATCCAATAGGCTACATATTTGCCTTTGACATTGACTTTCTTGTCGTTCAAGTATTTAATGCGCTCTTTCATATAATANATCGAATATTCCCAAATATCTTTCTACCTGTCCATGGTCTATCATGTTTTCCAAAACACCAAGCTACTCCTGTATACCCATTTGCATCCCTTCCATCTAAATGGTATTTATCATTCAAATAAACCAAAAATTCAAATGCTTACTATGGAGATTCTGTCCATTCTATTACCTTCTTACCCCAATACATTCTCATATACCCACTAATCTTACCTTTATGAATAGCTTCAAGTTATGCGGAGTTCCAATATACATCATGCGTTTTTGCCTTTTCTAACTGATCCAATGTGTAAATATAATCCCTCTTATCTTTAGCGTGTTCTTAAAGTGTATTTTTAGCCCAATCAGGCAATCCTTCATATTTATCATACAAATCGTTGTAATAGCAGAAGTTCATTGATAATTCTCTTCTTACAATTAATTCTTCTAAAAATGACTCTCGACTTTCGGATGGTGGAAATTTCATAGCCTCTAAGTATATATGTAATGGAGAGATCATTCCAAAATGTAGATAGGGTGATAGATTAGATGTTGCATTGAGTGATGGATCATTTCTGTTTTTAGCATAATTTTTTAATTTCTTATTCAAAAACTCTTCCAATCTCTTTTGTGCTTCTATTTCTCCTCCTTTAAATTGTTAAACAATCGAAACACTTTTATCAACTCCTAAATCGTCTATGACTTTTGAGATGTTGGAGATGTCATACTCTTGGAATGGTAATTTATCCATTTATTTGACTAATGTTTCCTCATTCAATTCTTTAGCAAAATATTTAGTAAGAGATTAGATTTTGGGTCTAATTGTCTTCGCTGCCCATTCCTCTTTTTAACTTGCTTATTCTACTGGCACCAAAACATCAGTTTCTACTTGTATAAATTAACAATCAATAGTGTCTGCTACCTTTTTTCTCCATTGTTTTTAGATTCGAAGGTAGCCACAATCAACTATGAGTAATTTAGCATTTTGAGCAATGGAGATAGCCAATTCATCTGGAGATTGTTTGGCAACTCCAAATAGTATTTTTCTATCTGCAAGGCTAGTTTTTAATTATTACAATCCTTTATTTTTTTAAGACTAATTGAATACCCTCTAACATAAAGTGATAAGGTCTTTGATTGGCAGCAGGATATTTAGTTAGTCCAAAGAAACAGAATAAGGGTATTTATTCTTGATTAGCCTTTTAAATGGCCAATTCAAGAGCATGATTGTACTTGGTTCTCTAACTGGCTTAGATCCAATAGGCTACATATTTGCCTTTGACATTGACTTTCTTGTCGTTCAAGTATTTAATGCGCTCTTTCATATAATAAGAATATTCTGATAAATTAATATGTTTAGTAATTAATTATTTTTCATTCATTTCATATTATTAATTAACATTCCAGCCTAATATGATACTTGCTAATTAGGGGAGGGCAGAAGTTGCATAGCCAAATCAAAGATTCCATACTTGGCACATTCCAATCTGAAAATGGTGGTGGCTTAGCATAATTTTGAGAGTATCTGAAGTGTTTAGATCAATGCTTCAGAGTTTTTGCCAGTGAAGTAACCCAGTAGTCGTTTGAGATCCAAGATGATTCTATTGCTCAGAATTTAGTCTACAAGATCATTCTTGCTATTGATCATCACTTATTTTTTATCATAATAAGATAGGCTTTTGATTTCCTGATCATTTAAGATTTTGGGATAGATTCTCAAATCACATATATATCCAATAGGTTGATCGAGAGTACCACTATTTCCAATAAACTGGATATCAAATGATGTAACTACCTTATTCATTTGGCTTTCATAGGCACCATTCAAATAGAGATATGCTGATTCCTAATCGTTGTCAAATATAATCACAACATGATTCCAACCAGAAAAGTTCTTATCCGAACTCTTAGGTTCAAAGAACTTGTATCCATATCCATCTTGACTGACATTGGTAACCCCCAATAATTGAGAATAAGCATCTGATATGATTAAGGATGAATAGCCATCACTAGAACCCAGAAGGGTACGAACTTAGTAATTGTTCTGAGCACCTCTGGCTTTACTAGTTTCTGGATTAAACATGACCATCCAAAATGAAACTGCAATCTATTTTTTGTTGATTTTCAATGGTTCTTCCAATTGAAGCACTTGATCTCTATCAAAGAAACAACCACAACCATCATAGAACAATCCTTAATCAATGGTTAATTTGGTTGGATCTCCATAGATCAACACATTATTAAGATTGCTATTGTCAAATAGATTGGTAGAATCAAATTTAATCCACAACAGAGTGTCATCAAATCCTTCTAAGAACATATTGACTGTTCTCAAGGCTTCTCTTTATTAGGTAAAACACTCAGGCATTCCAGCAATGTCCACTAACATTTAGACCACATCAAAGTCTCTTTTATTCTCTTTTATCGTTTACACTAATGTTTATTTAATCTTGAAACTCAAGGTACAGAAAAATACATTTAGAGATGTCTCTTTCATTATCTCTTCAGATTATTAGTACTTGTAGGATGAAGGCATTTAGCAAATATTACTGGGAATAAGTGATAAACCCAATTTTAATATTCTGCAAGTTTCCTGTGGAACTTACATGTATTTCATTTCAGGGGGAAGTTCAATTTGTTCCTTTTCCTGTCCTGATTTCTTTGTGATCTTTTTTTCAAACTTTTTCCTTTAATCATAAATTTCTCTTTCTTTCAAGGTTTTATCTCTTTGATCTTGGTAGTGCTAAAAACATTTCACAATCAATTGAACCAACTCTAATTCTGGATTCTTTATAAAGTCCAAATGAGCTATCATCATCACAATCAACAGAAAGAGAATTTCACTCGTTGGATTATATTGTGTAGACTCCAAAAATATCTCCTTTGCCAATTTCTTTATGTACTCCTTCAAACTTATGCAGTTAATGAGGAGTATCAAAGTGTAATCTTTAAGAGTCAAACAGGTTAACATTTCTAACATTTACTGTTGACAATCATTAAAGATGTATGGATAGTCCTCCAATATTTGAATCAATAAAATGGTGATACATTAGAGTGTTAATTCATGTTCGTCTGCAAAGAAGAAATGCAGATCTCTCTTCAACTTAAGCAATATGCATTTAGCCTTATGGATAAATTAGGCCTTGTCAGGATTGGGCTTCTAACCCTTACCAATCAAGTTCAAAGTTTATTCGAGTCTTGTCACAAGCTAGTATTCCTAATCTGCCTTCTGGTTCACTTTTTATCGCAAGTCTTTAAATTACTCTATGTATTCCCTCCATGGTTCATCTGATATCATTTCGTCTTCTTCTGTAGTTAGCTATTGATTATTCTTCATCTCCTTATTTTTAATCACAAAATTAGAAATCAATATAATTTTGGATCTTATACTTCATATATTTTTAACAAACATATATATGATCATCACATTAGTCCAAATCCTTCGCTATTTTCAAGGGCAATGTTCAACTTCTCCATCATCTTGTTCAAACAATCATACTAAGGCAGCAAAAACACATTGAAACATGTATGTGCTGATGGCAATTATTCAGTGTCTATCCTCTTAAAATATAATCTATACTTTCGCCATGCTTTTAAATAACAAACTTCAATGACTTTAATCCTCCCACTGGTACTCTATCTGATCCTGTGCAGAAGAACAAAAACCTCTTCTTCTATTACTCGTCCAAAGAATGTATATATGCCCAAAAAGTTCTGATATATTCAGAATTCTTATCAAATCCATCATACTTTGTTGACTATTCCAGTTCGTACATGTTCAAATGTTTTTATCCCAATATCATAGTTTACAATTCAGCACCTGTCAACAACTTTATACCATTTCCATCCACCACTTTCCAAAATCCTGCATGAAATCTTTGGAACTCCTTTTGTATTGATTAGTTCAAGTAATATTCAGTGCATAATTTAATGTACTACTCCTTATTCTTCTGTGTGACCATAATTTATGATCCATTTTACTATTTATCAATGTAAAATTTACTATCAATTCAACTTGCAAGGGCTATCCCCAATTATCATATTCAGTAATTGAGAAATTGAATGCAAATGCCTACTCTATGTCATCCTTTTCATACTCACTCAATAGATTCAATGCCTTATATGTGTCCAAATCTAATTCCTTGAGATCCTCAAATTGCACTGTCTCATTCATCAACTTCTTGAACACCAACTATGGGAAACTTACATCCAGCAGAACTTAAATCTTTTATTATTATTATACCTTAATTGTAAAGAGCCAATCCTAATAACATCCCAATTAATTCATACTTTATGGGCATCTCCATATGATGCTTATTGAACCACAGTACTGTATTATTATTTCTTGTGACAAACATTGTAAATTAAACATCGAAAAGCTTCTGAGTCAATAAAGAGAAAAACTCCCTTGTCAAACCTCCTTAATCTATTCCTTATTCTCCCTTGAATACTATCGATAATTTAGATTTTAGATTTATCCCTTTCCTAGACAACTACTCTAATGCGCTGTTCACAATATCATTTCTATCTATCAACAATTTTAAGGAGGGTGCTAATCCCATCTATTGCCAAATAAAATCACCCTAGCTCCTTTGATTAACACTTGAATCCATTGTCAAAATTTGGTATTTAAATTCAATAGGAATAATCCATGGATATAGACAAAACGTAAAGTAATAACTCTCAAGGGATTTGTTATTCAAACAAGCAAATTATTTATATTCCAACAATTCTGCTCTTACTGGATATAGTTTAGAAACCTCCTTTACTATGAATTTCTCATTATTAATCCTTTTCAGTTTCTCATTAGATTTGTAAAATATTTGTAACAGTTCAAGTTGCTGCATCAAATAACGGATGTCAGCTTTAAGCAATAATTGTATTGGCTGGTTTTACTGATACTAAATAAACAATATCAAATTCCTAATTAAAGCTTCAATAATATTTTAAAATCGCTAATTTGGAAGATGAGTAAAATATTAGGATAATTGATTCTTACTCTATTTGTCCAAATTGAATACAAATTCTAAGAAGCTGTTTGACTTTTCTGGTATTATCTATGTAAAACAATCAAAATGTAGAATGATGAATATTGATCTTAATTTAAATGGACTGCTCTCTTTACTTCTATATAGATTGGTGATCAAACCCTTCAAAATGTTGATGTTGATGACCTTATTTAATTCGTTTATGATAGTCGTATTCAATCTAGGATTGATATTGTGAGAAAGGATCGACTCATAAGAACCATTAAAATCCTAAATAAAGGAGCCTCCAAAACTATTTGGATAATTTGAAACTTTGTTTATCTATTATATAATATCTTCATCTATTTCTTAAATAGGTTTCAATTCCTGATCAGTACTCCAACAAACTTCACTCCAATCTATGCTGTCTTCTTTGAAGGATTCAATAAGAAATTATTGCAAACTAGCCTTTTCAAATTGCAATTGATTAAAGACTGGATTGCTGTTACAATAATTTTTGTCACAATAAAATTTTCCGCATCCCTTATATGCTTTATTAAACACATATTTAAATTCTTCTAAACTAGCAGTCTAAAATATCACTTAGATGAATATACTTTCAAATCTAATAGTTCAAACTGCCACTTTCCATTTATTTGTATATCAATAATTATCAAATCAGCCTTATAATACCCTACACTTTAGTTTTCATCCAATATCTAGCCATGGAATTTGCCATTATGTTATTCTAATTGTTTTATAGCTTAATTAGCGGGAAAATGTTTATGCTTCCATAATCTAATGTTTTCGCAATTCAACTAAAACTCACTTTTCAATGCAGATTTTATCAACATTATCCATTATTTTATCAAACATTTCTCATCTACTTAGATGATACCTCGAGTAGAATTTTAAATTTTCATATAAATCTCTTACTATTAAGTAATTAGAATAGTCTTACTCTCAGTAAATTGACATTTGTAATTGGTTAAGAATTTTCATCAAAAGTTATCTGTCTAAAAATTGTTAAATCAGATCCAAATTCTAAATGCCACATATTCATCAAATCGCTTCCAACCTATAATATATTTGTATGGTTTACTAGAACATAGTCTTCAGGGTCTAATTTTACTATTTTCTAATTAAAGGAGTGATTATTTGGATAATGGAATAAGAAAATTTCATCAGATTTTAAATCAGAATTAATAGGTCCAGGCTTGTAAATTAATATGTTTGCATACTTTTCGGCTACTTTAATTGATACTATAGTATTGGCCTTCATACTACCCTACATAGTGTTTCCATTAACGCACCCATGTCTTAGAAATTATGAATAATTCTAATGTCTTATTTGAAGCTTTTTCTAGATTCTTGTATATTGATCAAGAAATGTATTACTTTGATCGTCCTTTAGTATAAATGAGTCTATTATTAATAAGAAATCAACATGTTGGGATTCTACATAAGAGATAACAAATTTTGCAAGTTTTGCATTTTAAAAGAAATAAAAATGAATATTAATTATTATCTTCCAATATATATTGATTTCATTCACGAACTTCATTTTCTCTTATTTCATGTTTAAACGTAATCATTATTTTTTCAAGCGCCAATCTCAATTGAACATTAAATGTTTGATTTAAAAATGCAATCTCCTCACTCCTCCTGTTTATCTTCTTATTTTCATCATCTTTCAGTTCCTCTGATAAATGAGTAAATCGTCCAACTATTTCCTTCCTAATATCTAAGGGATAACATAATTCTGTACTTTGTATATTTTGAATAACTTTTACTTTATAATCATCTTGATTTTATTACTTCATTATTTCGTCTTATTCAACGTATTATTTTAAGCCATCTTAAATTTTTAAAAAGTATTTTTCTTTCTCTTCAGATAGAAATTTGAAATGACTTATTTCCTATTCCTAATAAACTATTAATATTATTCAATTTAATGTACTCGATTTTTATTGAAGCGTTTCAAGTTAACCTTCCAAAATTTCAATTTTTTATTTATAAATCTTCAATTCCTCTTCAAATTTGTTCTTTTCATAAGCAACTTCTTCTAATTCTTTCTTTCTTGAAAAATAAGAAGTCTAAAGTCTAAATAAAATTTACAAATATTTTCTATTTTTCATCATCTATGGCAGAATTTTAATTTTAAAGATAATCCTTTTGAATCTCTAATTCTCTATTTTCATCAATTAATTTTTAATTCTGTTCTTTTAAATCCTTTATTATCTTTTCTTACTCTAATATTTATTTCTCGAATATCTTAAACTTATCCAATAACTTTATCGAACTGTTTTCCCTATTTTTTACGATCTCTTCTTGAGTTTTTTCTATGTTTAAACATTTTAATTACTATATATCTCAAGGTTCTCAATTAATAATTAATAGTCTCTATCCTTATTATTGAGGTTTTTCTTTAATTACTAATTAGTCGATTCCAAGTCCTTTTTATTATTTCATATTATACTATCACTTTGCTGTTCAACTCTTCTATTTATTTTAATAAAGAATCATAATGAGTTTTACTCTATATGAAGTCAATTTCCCCTGAGTCTGATGTTAGTAGATCTTTTTGATTCATCACTATTTTTGTTATTTTATTTAATAATTGTCTTGTGAAGTGTTAATTAAGTAATGAAATTCTATAACATAAACTAAAATAAAGTCCATAATTTAAATTCAACAAAGAAGTGAGAAAAGTATATAATGAAATTTGTACTTTAAAGCATAATCTTAAGAAGTAATATGCTGTTTTAATTGAAATTTATTATAATTCATATAGTCTTTTAATATTATTTTATCAAACTAATTTCTATTCTAATAAGTAATAATTATATATATAAATTTAATGAATAAGTTAGTCATTTGTTACTTAACTTATTATTTATTCACATTTTATACTACATTTATTAGTTACTTTTAGGATAAACACTCAGGTAGAATAACAATAATGAAGAGTATTTTCTATATAATACTCACCCTTTCAATAGTGAATCTAATAATAGGTATAACAGTATCAGTTAGACATAATATATCCTTATATCATCATATTGATGGAATTAAATATATTATAAAAATATTAATTATGAATTAGTTAAAAGCAATTTAAAGTTCTGTTGATACACAAAGAAGAAGAAACTCGTCCTTCAAACAAGAAAAATCTTATTTTGAATAAGCTAAGAGAAGAAAAAGTGTATATATGGACCAATTGGATGATTACAGTTAAAATTAAATCTTAAAAAATTACAAAAGTTTCTTGCCTTAAATAAAATAGGATCAAGTAAACTCTGATGGATAAGATATTTAAATTATACTGAACCATTTCAAATTGTATTAGTAATAAAATGTAAAACCAATCAACTGGAATATATTTTTTGCTTAAATTTGGGATTTCATTCAAAAAAATGGCGATATTTACGATCTATATCAGGAACTCTTTAAGAAAGTGTTCTTTTTACAATTTCAATAATTGTAAAAATAATTATTTGAAATCTGTTACTTTGAAAAAATTATAATATCTTTAGGCTACGAAATGCAATAGGATCAATTATTCAACCAATTTTTTTGTTAATTCGTTTAGAATTATTAATCTTGCTTGTAAGAATTGTTTTCAAAAGGCAAATTTAATAAAAAGCAAATATAAGATGCTTAATAATAAATTCAAATGAACAATACAATTGATTATGCCAGTATAGAAGACCTATATGAAAGATTTCAACAAGGAAATAATACAATCTGGATGATACATAGAAAATGTAAATAAAATTAATAATATAAACTAAATTTTAAAATCATTAGAAGACATTTTGCATTGTGGTTACACGAAACCAGAAACTTAGAAATTATAAAGCTATTACCAAAACAATTACTTACTGCTTCTCATCCATTTATAAATGCAAAGTTAAACTAACCAATCCTAATTGTTGATTTAGATGAAACTTTAGTGCATTTTGAATAGGGATCCAACAGACTTATGATTAGAAATGGATCAATTCAATTTTTATAATAAATGCATAAATATTACTATATAATAATTTGGACTGCCTCTTTACCCAGATATGCTAAATGGGCTCTAAAGAAGATTGATCAACAAATTCAGTAATAAGTATATTATTTATTAGTTAGTATATTGATTTGTTACTAACTCGAGAATATTGTATACCTCATGAGAAAGGATTCTATTAAAAGATGCTTTCCATGTTGGGATAAGAATTAAGTACTCTTCTAATAGTTGAGAATGACTTTAGAAGTGTGATTGATTCTGAAAAGGACTACCTGCATTTAATTGATTCTTATTTGGGTTAGGAGGATACTGTATTATTTGAACTAAGTAATCGTTTGACCGACGCATACAAATATTATTAAGAAGGATTTAGTTTTTAAAGAGCTGTGAAGATGACTTAAATGAAATAGGATTGATATATATATATATATTTATGAAATAACAATGTTCACACCTATTACTTTTATAGTTTCTGAGTTATTATTTGCCATTTATCATTACCTAACTTTTAAGTTCTTTGTATGATAGTTTCATAGAGTTATTAATTCTTATTATAATGATAATACAATGCGTATAATCCATTCACAGAGATAATTCGAACAGCTCTATTAGTTAAAAATATTGATATGTAGGAAATGCCTAATTGTAATGCAATGAAGAAGGCAATTGTATGAGGCTAGAATTTTAAATTTGAAAAATACTATGTTTTTCAAAGTAATAGCATCAATTAAGATTGGCATTATGTAATTCCTTATCAATTTTTCTGGAAGGCTGGCCAACTCTGTTAATTGCTTCATTTTACTTGAGAATACTTAATCAGCCTTTTTGATTAAATTAAGATTACCTATTCTTTGTTTTGTAAAACCCATTACAACGCAAATCTATAAATCTAAACTCCAATTGTAAATAGAAGCAGAGCATTAAAGATTTGTGATTATAGGTTGATTTCAAAAAACTCACTAAATAAGATATGTAAGGTTAGAGTGCCATAAATAATATGCACGAGCATCTTTTAATTTTAATAATATTTTTATGGCCTAAAGAATTGGATCATATAGTTTTATAAAAAGGAATATAGATGGAACTGGTTTAGTGAAGGAAAATTCCATATTAAAAGATAAAGTCCATTAGATCAAATTTTTAGTAGAAGACAATTTAGATATTTTAATAAATGAACTTGACCCAGACTTTAAACAAAAGGCTTAGATAACAGATATGTCAAATGTCTTTGTAATCATTCAAGAAAACATAGAGAGATGGAAAATACTCATCAACACTCTTAAAAATAACACAACCATTTTGGAATCTCAATTTGAAAAGTTGAAGGAAAAAGAAGAACAAATGAAAGTGAAAACATAAAATGATATCCTTCATATGATTGAAGAGTAAGAACATAAAATTATTCAAAAAGAGAATGTAATCGTTACGTTAAATTAATAACTTAAAGATTTATAGAATGAGTTAGAAATTCATAAGTCTAAGCTATAAGACTAGGTACTTCATACAGAAGAATTAATGCAGTAACAATAATAATAGTTGAAACAAAGAGTTGCACAATTAGATAATGAGATAGTTTAATTAAAATAATAAAATTAGTTTGAAATATAAGCTATTTTGCATAACCATGAAAAAGATAGGAAATTTTACAAAGAAGAATTGGAAAATCAAACCAGTTTGATGGAATAAAAATATAAAAAATATTATTTGGAAAATTAATAATTCTAGGAAAAGTACCAAAAGCAAATGTAATAAATTAAATAAATCAAATAACAAAGAGATAATTTTGAAAAATAATTAGATTAATAAACTTAAAAAATTAAATAATACATTGAAGAATTAGCAAATGAAAGAAAAAATAAGGCCAAGGAAAATAAATAATTATTAGAGTAATAAGAAATTATTAATCAATTGTAAAGTAAAATGGCTATAGAAGAAAAGAGATAATAAAGATTAAAAGAATAAATTTAACAACTTTAAGATTAAAATTAAACTCTTTTATAGAAACACGTTAATGAGATTAATCAATTCAATTTTCAAGTTACTTAACTTAAAAAAGAATTAGAATAAAAGGATTTTTTCATTTCTAATCAATAATTAAATCATACTCAATAAATCTTAATTTAAAAAATTAAATATGAGAATATTCTTGGAAATCCTATAAAGTTAGAAGGAGAACAACAATAAGAACTTACTTCAGATTTCTCACAGCAATACGATGATTAAATAGAGATATCATATGTGAAAAATTTAGAGCAGCAAATCAAATAATAATAAAATGTAATTCTAGAAAAAAGTTAATAGAGTGGTGATATTCAGGTTAAATACCAGAAACTGCAATAAAGTTTAGCTTAATAAATAGATTAAAAAGTAAAAGAAACATAATATGAATGTAAATTGTAATTAAATAAGATGTTATAGGAATATGAAATTTAGAGAGAGAAAAATCTATCAGAACATAATTATAAAATCAACCTTTTATAATAATAATTGTCATTTGAAGTAGACAAAGTTAAGTGTGAATTAAAGGAACTTTAAAATAAAATAGAGATCTTGAATAATTAACTAGTCGAAAAGGATGAAATTATAGTTTATCTATCTGAATAACTCTAATTAAATAAAGAGTAGCAATCTAGAGATAAAAAACTAGCTGAAACTAACTACAATGATCTTCAGATAGCCTAATAATAATAGTTAGAGTAAATAGAAAAAATCAATACATAAAAACTGAATGATATTTTAACCTAACTAAACTAATCAAAAAGTTAAAATGAGTAATTAAGCTAGCAGTATTAATAATTGTAAAAGCATAATACAGAATTGAGAAATGAATCAAAAGAACAAAGATAATCACTTCTATAATATAAAATATAATGCGACAAGTTGCAAAAAGAGTTATAAATTTAATGTGATATCTCAAAAAGTCTAAATGATAGAATAAGATAACAGTAAGTTGAGATTGAAAATGCTAAGCAAACCTATAACATTTTCACAAAAACATCAAGAATTCCGACGACTTTGAGTAGCGAAATCAGATTTACAAAGTTGAGAGCTTCACCGATAAGTCGCAAGTTAAGATCCATATCAAATACTAGATTATAATAATTATAAAATATATGAATTACTATATGGTTCTATAAATTCAATATTTTAATAACCAAAGCTATCTTCTTTACTTTTAGTAATTTATATATGAACATATTCTTAGGAACAATTGTGCATGATCAAATATCAAGGAATAGATATAAAAGAGTATTAAATGAAATTTAATAATTAATTTATGCTCATAAAGAAGATTTAGTTACAAATTATTATCGTATTACAGGAAATGATGATTTTGTAATTAACAATAGAGTTGATTTGGGATAGTTTGTCTATTTTAAAAGAGAATTTTCCTTCTAAGTTATAGTTGTGTTAAGAGTATTTTGATTAATTTAATTGATTTAAAGGAATTGGAGAATGAATTATTGAGAAAGTAATTTAATAATTTAAATTCTCCTCAATCTAATCTAATGAACTTCTTGACTAAGGATGAAATAGAAGATATTATTGAGACTCTAGTAACTATAACATGTCAAAGATTAAGAGATATACCTAAGCGTATTGAATTAAGTATAACGTTTATCCTACCAATCATTCAAAAAGAGCAAATAAGATTTTAGCAAATACATTATTAAATAAAAATGCAAAAGTGACTTCAAATAAAAATTTCTTAATAACTCTAAGACTAAGCTACCATGATTAAGTGTTATTAAAACTGATAAGGTCAAATCCTTGCTATTACTAATAACTTAGTAATAGTTCAGTTTTTTTTTAAATGAAAGAAAATAATGAAATAGATAGATTCTGTTTTATTTATATTACACACTTTGTAAAAACAAAAATTTATTAAAACCAATGAAACCTACAATATAAACTATAATAGACATACTTGTTGCGGTATTATTACACATTAAATGAAAGGGCAATATGGATTAGATTAATCGGAATTGACAAAGTATTGTTAATTACACACTTTGCTAGGCTAAGCAGTATTAAGCATCCAGTAATTGGGTAATAATAAAATTCAAAACTATTTGCAATATTTGAAGATGGAATTTTGAATTAGATTCAAAGTCCAGTGCAAATGTCATAGAATTAATTTTTTAGTCTGTTTCCAAATACATAGCTGCAAATCTATTCAATTTAATGATTCTAATCATAGTTAAAATTCAAAAAACTTCATTTTCTCAATAATTTATAATAAAATGGGAACGGCGATCAATAATAAGACAAACTTTTATAAAATATATTAAAATTTGGATGAAATTAAATGGATCTCTTCATAGTTATCTCAATTTTTAGAATCGTTATTGTGATTTTACATTTATAAAATTAAATTGAGGATAGCAAATTTTCTTTATAGTTTTTGTCTTAGTTGAATAGTATTATCAATCCAGTAAATTAAATAAATTAGAAAAAACAACTTAATATCAGTATTAGATATAAATATCATATTTGTTATTATCATAATTTTAAAATAATGTCCCAGAGTGTCCTTTTATTAATTACAGGTTCAAAATTAATCATAATGCCCTCTACTTAGAAAAGCAATCTTCTTTTTTAAACTGCATTTATTTTTATTTATTGAAGTTTCAAATCTATATTATTATTCTAAATCGGTTATTACTGAGCACAACTAAAATAAATTAAATTAGTGAAATACCTTTCAAATTTAATATCTATTTTGGTCAAGTTCTCCATTTTAGATAGAGTTTTATTCAATTATTTGATAGCTTACTTTCCTATATTTTACCATCTAATTAAAAATAAATGATTTACAATACTAATTTGACTTCTGATAGATTTCCCAATTTCTTTAAGCATCTTGATAGTCCTATAATAGTATTGTCAGTAATGTCTTAGTTTCCATCTCCCCAGCCTTTTAAATTTAATTCCAACTTTCCTAAATTCTATAATAAACTGATTCCATCCATTAGATTTTTGGCTCCTTCATCAGTTATACTGTTATTCTCATAGGCCCACATGTTTAGATCAAGGTTGAACTCATGCAATTGATTTTGAAGTATCAAAGCATTGGTTATGTATTGTAGTGATTTATCTGTAATATTTTGATTCCAATAACCCCAACTAATATTAAATAACCTAGTTAAATACCCACACAAAGCTAAATTTAACTATTCTAAACTTTTAAGTTTTGACAATCCATCACTTAAATCTCTTACTCCTTTGTCAGTTAAGTCTGATAAATCTAAATGCCATCTGTTTTAGTAAATGAAGAATACCTTTTGCTTAAATCAATTGATAGGTTTTTCTTGGGTTAGGATAAGACAAGTTCAGAAGACATTGTTTCTACACACTTATCATTAAGTTATTATTATTATTGAAATCTAGATAATCTTAACCATTTACATTTCAATCTAAAAAGGAGATTTAATTCTTTATTCACTTCTGATAATTTGTGAAGCTAATTTCTTCATAAGTTTATCTTTTTTCAAATTCAATTTGTTATGTTGCTTTTAAATTGGATTTGAGGGGTATTCTACTGGTTCATGATAGATGCAGATGTCTGAGCAGACCTACTCAAAATTATGATTTTTATTCATTTAATTAATAATAAAAAAAAAAGTACAACAATAGCTAAAGAAGTTTCTTGAAACAATCTTGAACAATTATGAATAAATTAGTTTTCAAAAGTATTTGAACATTAAAAGTAAGAAATTTAAAAAACTAATATTCTTAATAACATTCATTATGCATTATAAAACAGCATATATGCACATGTTTGAGCATGAGTTGGATAACTTCTTCCATAAACATAATGTAAATCTTAATCAACAAATAGCTAAGCATATTTCGAATTTTCATTACAGATATTTTATCATCATCAAATTTAAACCATTTCCCTTGTATTTTTGTTATACACACATAATGACCATACAATATGCCTTATCCTAGGTGGATAATGATTGTAGTCAATTCATAGGTTTTTGTTTATTTCTGCGCCTTAATTCGTAGTTATTGAGAAAAAGGAATCTTTGAAGACACTTTAATCATCTACCCACATCTCTCATCATATTTAAATCGTTTCAGATGGACTACTAAGACATTTGGTAAAGTATTCAATAATAATCTTCATAGATCAAACTTAAATACCTTTTGATGGCATCCTATTTAGATTGACACTTATCGCAAAAGAATTAATTCTAACCATTCAGTTGTTCTTCTTTCGACATTTATTACAAACAAGTGCTCAAACTATAATTCGGAAACAAATCTAAGGATAAATCACAATACATTTCCTCTCTTTAAGAGACTTACTATTATTACTATAATTACTTGAATGACAATTTAAACACTCGATTTATGTTAATTACTATCCCTAAAATATTTATCGAATCCAATTATTTTGTTTATCCTTTATTAATTCTTCGCATTCATTAATAAACCACATATAAAATTCATGAGAATCTTAATGATACTTGCCATCAAATATTTTATTTTTAGTTTTAATGTAATTCATCATTTTTTTGGTTGAAATTACTCCAGTCTTTTGTTTGTGTTTTGATATTGATTGGAATAACAATTTAGTTAAATCAAGTAAATTATTCTAATTAATTGAGCTCTGATGCTATAAAATTTAATTCTTAAAGTCTTTGCAATAATACAATGCTTATAATATTACATTCGAATAACAAATGTTACTTGGCTGATATATGATTAATTTATACATTTTCAAATCCAATTAAAATTTCCCCATCTGGAAAATCTTATCCTAAATACTTTTCTAAATGATCATTTTAACTAGATTATGTTACTCCCATATAAATATTAATTAATATATAAATTAATTCTAATAATCTCATTTGCTTAATTATAAATATTTATTTTTGAAATACTGTAATTTCTTTCTGATATCTAAATTGGCTCCATAGGCAAGGATAAATTTATTCTCATTTAAAAAGGAATCAAATTCATCAATATACTTAAATATTTTTATTTGATTTCTATTTTATTATTGTTTAGATTGAATGAAATATTCAATGTTCTCTTATTTGAATTAATTCTTAATAGCATCATATTAATGCTATTATTCAATAATTTCTTGTTTAGTTTATTCAATTTTGTGTAGTAATTCTGTGTTTTACTAAAAGACTTATTACTATTGCAATTGCAATGAATTGGCTTCATCAATCAAACTAATAATTATTTATGGTAACATACGCATCAATTTCTTCTTAAAATGTTCCATAATTCTCTTACATATGATTTTTAAAGTAATATGATTCTGCTTGAAGATCTTTGATTCTTGTAATTATTTATCTCCAATCATTGCTTAAATTACTATTTCCAATATGAAGGATCTTCTTAAAGCTTTCAACTCCATCGTGTTCAGTTTTGAGTTATTTCTTAATTGCTGGAACTTTTTATTTTACAATTCTATGAGATTAGGGATTATTGGCCTCAGGCAAATGACCACCTAAAACAGAAAATAAACTCTGCTGATGACTCATAATAAGGGATGAATATGTTACGGTTCAATAATAATGCCTGCTTATTATCCATACAATTATAAATCTTTAGTTGTTCTGATGGGTTAATTATTGCTTTTTGCCTTGATGCTGTAAGTTCCTTTTGATAACTAGAACACCTGATGAGTTTGTTGGGTGAACTATTCATAATTCATTATTTCCCATAATTGAGGTTAAGTTGATTTTTAATAAAATACTTTCATTATAATAAATAAAGAAGATGAAATAGATGGTTGAAATGCTAAATTATTTTCATAACATTTACTATTTATCACATAACTCAGCAAAATTAGATGATAAAATCAAATCGTACGCTCTTTTGAATTCTTATCTCACTTATTGATACATATTTGAAGACTTGAATTCTTCATTCTTTTGGCGTTTTTGCAACATAGGAGTCAAAATCTGATTTTTAATGAATGGATTATAGATTATCAATCCTATTTCTTAACCTTCTTTTTAAACATCATTGGTTAACGCAAGGGGAACTTTGTATTTTTCAGATTGGTTCCAAAGATGAAAGAATACACAAATTTAATAGCCTATATTAATTTGAGGGATTTATTGATATTGTTTTTCTTGAGTTTTAGTCCATTTTTGAATTACACCTTTAATCTCTTCTTTGCTTCTTGGAAATGACAGCCAAAATATCCTTTCTACTCTTCTTCCATTTTTTTAGGTCACTTGAACTAGATATTCATCTTGACTAAATTTAGACAATCTGCAATCTTCACTATCTTTGATTTACTGTTTCAATAGCAGTTTTTCTTAGGTCCACTGACTGTATTAATCACTAAATATGTTAGGTATCAAAGATTAGGTCATAAAGAAATCGATTATCATACAATACAAAGCAAATTCTGGGAGTGCATGATCTCCTAAGATACCTCTTTGATATGCCCAATAGTTTAAGAATGCACATATCTTTTTTAATTCTGGGTTGATTTAACAATACGCATTCATAATTTGATCTTTATAAATGTCTAAATTTTAATTTTCATTTCCTGCTTTAATTTCAAATTTAATTTAACCCCCAGGGATTTGAACAACCAGATGATTATATTACATTTGTTAGATGATCAATTTTAAACAATTCTCACCAAATTCATTTTGTAAAGCATTGAATTTATCTTGTTCGAACAATTATGGATTTTTGAGATTCCTTAACATCTAATTCACTATATCGAGTGTATGATATGGGTTTTATGTTTTAATGAAGATTACACATGGATTATGACATAAATAGAGTTGAGTATAATTTAAATCATGGATAGTAAAATTTAGATTATTACCTTCAATCAAATGTTTTTTAAGTTTGTCAATAAGGATCTCTTCGGTGTTTCTTTGTTGAATTCTTTACTTAGGACCATAATTTTGATTTTAGTTATTCTATTCTTACCTTTCTTTATGTCTTTATTCTATAATGAGCTTATCAGAGATTTTCAAAGAATTAAGAATTTATTTAATACCTATGATTTCACGTGTCTAATTAAATATAATTGTTTGGCAATACCTTAATTTAGGCTTACTAAAATAATTTTGGAACAAATTTCTCTAGCTTTTATTTAAAATCAACGTTTATTTTTTTTCGAGTTTCCTCATTAATATGCATATTATCATTAACAAAAGTTTAAGTAGGTTCATCTAAAAAACCATCTTCATTTTGATCATCATCAATGAATTGGTTACCCGGTTGAGCTAAAATCTCTGCATCAAAATCAGAGTCATCTAATTAAATCATTCCTCTCAAAATTTAAGGAAATAATTATTGTATAAATAAAATGTATTCTAATTGTTATTAATAGTTCATTTCAGTTGGAATTAATTATATTCATTAGAATTTATACTTTTGATAAATTAATAATATATATAAATATGAGTGATCCATACGATTGGCCATTCCCAAGTAGGAAAGATTTAATGTACTTATCCTCAATAAGTATAAACTCTATATCATAATTTAGATAAACGAGATGTAGGCACTGTTAGACCTGATAAGTTAACAGGATAAGATTTTAATCTATAAACTAAAGACATTGATGGTAACTGAATTTTCAAAGTAGGTGCGTCTCCATGTATGAAGCCATATAAATTTACTAATAAACCAGACTTTACGAATACGACTGATGATATTGCAGGCACTCGTTCTAAGGTATTGATCCCATAAATTGGAAGAGATGTATATTATTTTGATTATTTGGAAGGGATTCTCTCTGAACAATCGTGATATCAAAGGTGCTTATCCATAATTAAATAAATTCCAAACAACAAGACCTCCAACCAATCCTGTAGATCCTGTGTATATTCTACCGAAAGCTGTTCCTGTAGAACCTTTGCAACCGAAATTCATTAGAGATCAAATCAATATTGATGTACAGCGAATAATAATGAAAAGGACATTCCAGGAACCAAACCCAATCCTCCAGCAGCTAAATTGAGAAAAACTGTTCACATTTTTGATGAAGTAGACGGGGCTAAATCAAAACCTGCCTTCATGCCCAGAGATCATATGGAGATTATGGATGTTAAAGACATCAATGAGTATAGAGTATTTAAATCATCCCGTGTGACAAACCCACTAGAACCTGAATATCAATTAAAAGATGTTGAAGGATAACCAGCTAATTCAAAATATGGGTTTGTGGGTGGAAGTAAGAGCAGAGTCTTGCATCCATAAATCAATTACAACACTAAGAATTTAGAAACAAAGGACATTGAAGGATGTCATGTTGGAGCTATAAGTGATCATTTCTTGATGAGACAAAAGAGATCTCAATTTAGAGCCATCAATGACACTAAAGATGTACCTGGGGCTTAGGTGGGCACTCTCAGAAAAGGGTTACTTAATCATAGAGGCACTAATCCGTTGACTCCTGAATATCAACTATTGGGAAGAAATGAGATTTATAATCAAAATATGCCTCGTACAGCATTTGAAGGCACTCGTTAGAATCAAGGAGGTGAAAAACCAAAAACTTAATAGTCATTAAGATCAAATTCTTTAAATAAAATTGAATAACCATTATCCACAGCCTAAAAATTTGATTAGTTTATAAAGAAATGAAGTAGATATCATAAAAATTTTACTAGTTCTAATTATTAAATGGATTCTGAATGCAATTTCCTTTCTTATTCATCAAGCCATTTTGTTCTTTTCCCTTCTTCCCAATATCCTATTTTGCGATCACCATTTGTACAAATACCAACACCATTTTACTTGCCTAATTTGTATATCAATTTACCATTATTCCAAGTAGATACCATTTTCTTGCCATCACTCCAAGTAAATTCACCAACACCATTCTTTTTATCATCTTAAAAATGCTATTTAGATTATAGTAAAACTACCCCTCTAAAAACCCTTCCATCTGGAAACGTAAGAACTCCATAACCATTCATTTTAGACTTTTTCCACTATCCTTTATATACTCTTTTATCATCCCATAACATTGTTCCCTATCCATCCAATTCATTATTAGAAAAATCTCCCTCATAAGTAGTACCATTTGAGAATTTTAAAATTCCTTAACCATGTTTTCTGCCTTCATTATAAAATCCCTCATAAGAATTTCCATCTTACCATACTTCTTTACCTTTTCCATGCTGCTTATCATTTTTCCACTTATTTATATGCAAAAATTGATACATTTCCTTCATATCGTGCCCCATTTTTGCACATATAAACACCAAATCCATTGCATTTATCATCCTTCCATTCACCCTCATAGTAATCTTCATCCTCTAATACTAGTTTGCCTTTTCCATTAAGTTTCCCTTCCAGAAAAAATCCAGAATATATACTGCCTGAAGGCCACTTAAGTACTCCTTATCCATCCTTTAATCCATTCATCCATTCCCCTTTGTAAGTAGTTCCATCAGAAAATGTGATTTCTAAATGAATTAAACCCATACCTTCTAATTGGACTCTCTACATTTTACCAATTGTGCTTTGTATGAGTATGTTCTCTTTCTTTATGCTACCAATACTAGCATCAGATTTGCCTTAATCATTATCAGCGTTAAATCTCTCTGTTTCTTTGTTATTTCTTTATTGACTTTCTTTTAATGATTTATTTTTCGATAATACAACCTCTTATTTATCAGCGCCTCCTTTACTATTGATTTCTTAATCATTAGTACAGCAAGAATTACTGCAGGTTGCACCCATTTATATTTAAATAATTAAATTATGATAAATAGCTATCAAAACAACTGTTATACCATTTATTGGTATTATAGTTATCACTCTAGCTTAAATTGATTACTAATGATAACGTCGAGCCTGATTACACATAAGAATGAAGTGTAAAACAGGGGTAGGTATAGTATCATACAAATAATCTAAAAAACTAATTATGAAATAAATATCATGAGATTATCCAGAACTATACCAAAATGATCCTAAATTTTCGAGATAGAGAGCCCTAATCAACTACTCTGAATATAATTCAGAAGACTTCAGCAAAAATGTAAGTATAATTTCTTTAATGTAAAAAAGTTCATAAATATAATTTTGCAATGCTTCTGAAGATCTAAACAGATGGTTCAAAATTATTATTAATATATATTCATTTATTATTAAAAAGGTTAACTTATTGCTAAAAATTCAGGAGTGTATTCGCTATCTTGTTGTGAAAATAATTTAATTTATTGAGGAGGTAAACTTAATTCCGGAGTACATGACAACTGAGCTGATAATTGATTGGCAGGGAAGAAAGATTAATTTTATTCGCTTATTTTATTTTCTTGTTCTTCGTACTCAACTTCTTCTTCATGAGTCATCTATTTTATTTGATTAGATTCACTATTCATCTTAAGTTCAGGAGTTTAAGGTAATTTACATATCTGCCCCATCTTAATTACAAAATATAATTTATATTTTATGTCTTAAAACTCTTTTTTAATGCATTTTATTAATCTTGTAGAAGATTCTCAAAATAAATTAAATCAAAAATATGCTGTAAGATTAAAGTAATTTAGAAATACATGATAAATACAAAATATTCATTTTAATCTGTTCCAAAATCTATTAGATTGTATTTTTCAGTTTATGGTTTAATTATTTTGTTAAGAATCATTAAAAAACAAATGGAAAATAACAATAATCAAATAATAAATTAAATCTTAAAAAGAAATACTAAGATGAGATATTAATTAATCTAACAGCATTTTCCCTTTTTATTTAATCCCTATAATTAGTGTGACTTAATTTAGTCGAAATATTCTGTGATTTTTAAATTATCATAAATTTTCTATTACTTTCAACCTTTTTATAATTTTTACACAGAATATTATTTTTTAGTAAGGTCATTTAATCATTGATCTAAAAATAGTTTTGCCTTACTATCAGTATTAAGAATAATGAAAACTTAAAGTTTATTCCATATCATCTAATTAAATAATGGGTAAAATCGATCTTTATAAAACTAATACATTATTTTGCAATTGAATTCAATTTATTATTCAATAGGTAACTTCTAAATTAATAATTGATATTTTTTGAATTAGCTCTACTATTATGATTTTAATATTTTAAGTTTAGGGCTGTTAATAATAAAGTTAGGAATTATGTTAACTATCTTGATTAATAAAATATTAGGTATTTATATATTAATTATATTTTGAATTTGCAATATGGACAATCCAAATAATGAGGATTACTCTGACTTCTTTAAAGGTAATCAAGTCTGAAAATTAGATCAGTTGTGTTAGTAGGCGATGCTGGAGTAGGTAAAACACATTTAATGACCAGGTAATTATTTATACAACAACAGATATGTGAAAGGCTGCCTACCAAAAAATGCTGTACCCACCATTGGGATTGAGTTTGCTGGAAAGACAGTCACTTTATAAAATGGCAAAAAGGTTAAGGCATAAATTTGGGATACTGCTGGCCAGGAAAGGTACAGAGGAATCACAAGCACGTATTAGAATAAAATTTATTCAGTCATTTTCGAAAAGCAGGAGGAGCTTTAGTTGTTTATGATGTAACAAAAGAGAAGACATTTGAAAGTGTTGTTAAGTGGATGGAAGATTTGCGATATTAGGCTGAACCAGATGTGGTTATAATGTTAGTCGGTAATAAAATAGACTTAGTTGAAAACAATGGAAGTGCAAGGTTCTTATATTTGATTATGCATAGAAAGGTTTAAAAAGAAGATGCTAAAAATCTTGCATAGCAGCATAAAGTGTTGTTTGAAGAATCAAGTGCTGTCACAGGTTAGAATGTTGGATAATGTTTCGATAGATTGCTATAAGGTTTTAATTGTCTTATCATTAGAAATGTACAAAATTAAATCATTAACTCCTGGATAGGACAACCCTAATTAAGGCCTTTCATTAAACAATTAAAATCCGTCCTAAAATCCTGACAACTGCAAATGTTGACAATCCATATATTATATATTAAATCAATTTTATAATAAGTGATCCTTTTATTCACGTCCCTTTAATTCCATATCTACTTACAATATTAAGTGTGTTTTGATAATCTTTAAATTTTATATATTTTAACAAAAGATACATATCAATAATCAAGGACATAAAAATATGTTAGAAGCTCAATTCATATATCTCTCTCATCAAATCCAAAGATCTGCCTATCCTGAAAATGTCCTCGCTCTCAGTTGTTCACTCATATATAGAGATAATAAAAATAGTTTACTTTGAATCTTTCATAAAATGGTTGTTTCTAATTATGAATGCAATTTTATACTAGTAATGAAGATAATATAGTGTTTGACTTTAAAATTGCTTTTTTGCGATCATATATATCTTGATATCCATATATCCTTGATATTGTTTGCTGAATAATTTATACATGCTAATTTCAATTGTAAAAATGGTTCCGTCCTTCAGTTCATTAGGTTTATAATTATCAAATTAGATAAAAGATAACATAATGAAATGATATAAGACATATTCTAATTGTTGTTAATTGATTTTGATTCTAAAACTTTAGTAGTTATTTTCTATTTCCTTAGCAACGAGCCTTTCATGAATCTAACTAAAAATCCTTAAGATATATTGGTGAATAATATTTTAAATTTGTCCACATGAATTAAAAAGAAAAATAAATTACATTTTAATCTGTAACAGATAAATATTTTGGATCTAAATGAAAATAGTAGCGCAAATTCTATTTATTCAAATTTTTAATAGTCAACTTTTCTTCATCTAAATAGATTAATAAAAATACATTTATTAATATGGAAGATCTCTAAAAATATTCATGAAAATAAATTCATATCCTGGAAATCCTAAATTCTAATTAATTTAGAACAATTAATTGGTGCAATAATTTTATTCCAAAAGTAGCTTATTTAAATAAGATAAGTATTTCAATATTACTGATAATTTTAGTGAGAAACAATAAAACGAATTTTAATTACCATGTTTAATGAAATATCTTAATATTATTTCTTTAATTTATCAATAATATCATCTCTAATCATAAATGTTACACATTTTTATGAAATATTCAGTCATTTTCAATAATGGTATTGTATTTTTTAATATTTCCAGTTTAATTCATTTATTAAAGCTATATGTTGTCTTTGTTTTAAAAATACTTTTCGAATAAAAGAATCAAGAAGGAGAGATACTAACATTTATGCTTTTATAATAATTCAATCTAATATTGAATATATTAATATTCATGATAGAATTATAAAAAATACTTCATTAATTAAATTGAAGTGTTTCATTTATTTTTAATATCATCAAATATTCAAATAATAAATAATAAATGAACTAAATATATGATTTGATGCAGATTATCAAAACCTCTTAATAAAGGGGGCAAGAATTAATGATAGATTCATTTGTAATTGGATATCTCTTTGGGAAGGGAAATTTAAAAAATAAAGAGGATTTATAAATATTTATAGAATAACTAAATGATATTAAGCATAGAATAGATGTAGGCGATTTATTTCCTTCTTCTAGAGATGAGCTCATTTTAAGTCGTTTAGGAAATTTGTCTATGTTAATTAAGGGTGAGAATAATAATGATAAATACAAATAATAATAGAAAAAGAAATAAGGAAAGGGTAAAGGAAAGACAAATATTTTGGCTTAGACAACACCTATAAATCCTTAAACAGATCTAAAGGATTAAAATGAATTGAATTAGTTTTAAGAGGAGGATACTGAAAAGTAATAGATCTAAATGAATTCTAAGAAACCCAAAACTTAGCAACCTTAAAAGTAGGGTGTGTAAACAAGATAATAAATAGCCTAATAATAAAAAAAAGAATAACAAAAAGACGAGTAACAAAAGGACGAATAACAGAAAAATGAATGAAAATACATATCAAATATATCACATACTAGTTGTTAAATTTAGTTGATTTTCCATATATTAATAGGATTGTCGTTTATTTTATATAGATATCTGTGTCGATTGTTTTTTTTGAAAATAATTGGGCTTAATTAGTTATTGACTTAATCTTTTTTAAGAAGTATCCACATCTGTTTTCAATTTCTAAGGTGTTGTATTTGTTTTTGGTCTTAATTTAGCTTAATCAAGAGTATTAGTGATATTGGTAATTGTATTCTCTACCGTCGAATATTTACTAATTGACTAAAATATTGATGATTTATGAATATACTTAATTATCAATTTTTTATAATTAAGCAGTTAAGGATTTACATTTTTAATACAATTCTTCATTTTCTCTTTTCAATTTCTAAGATTAAATCGATTGATTACAATAATAGTATTCTTGGTGTTGTTTAAAAATTCATTTCTTGATTTTTCTAATTCTTCTACTTTTTGTTACAAATCATCCTATTATTATTGCATCAGATACTAATCCTATAAATTAAAAATATTAAAATACTCTAATGTTTTTTCTGACTTCAGATTCATATTTCTGTAATTGCTTTTCCAAACTTAAGAATTCCGATTGCTTTTTAATTATGATATCTGTGATTAATTTTAACTATTCGCATGTATTATTGCATTTATAAAACTTCTATTTGGTCTGATCCTCTTCACAAATCTAATTAATTTGCTTAATTTTTTTACAATATTGAATAACTTAATCAGCAACTCTTGCATAAATCTAAACAAAAAATAATTATAATAATATATCTAAGTATTTTATAAATCATCCAAATAATATGAAACCTATACAGCGTTTAATTAATCATATATAATTAAATGTAATATATATTTAGAACATAAATTAGCATCTAAATCTTGAAATCCATGTTTTATCAACTGAATTTAATTATATATTTGTTTGTCATATATATTCAATAATTGCCTTTATTAATAATTAGGTATTTAACCTAAAGATTTACATCAATTCTCTAAGTCGTCTTCAAACTACTTCAGCACTCTAATCTTAATAATATAGCATTTTTAGTTATTTCACTAAATTTTAAAACCTTTTGATGATGATGATGTCATATTCTTTTAGTTTTATCGATAATTTTTAAATAATTTAAGAAATTGCATTAGTATTTAGATTTGTGTGTTATTTCATAAAATTATATTTGATTAAATCTAAACCTAGAATAATGATTATAAAAATCACACAAACAATATCAATAATAAATTTAAAAGTCTTTAAAGAAATTTTGTGTTGCTCTTCCATAGTAAAATGAATTTTTTGTTATAAAAATGAAAAAATAATTAAAATGAGTGATAGTATTGACTTCAACGATATGATAAATTAGAACAGGTATTTAATCTTTAACATACAGAAACATTTATGGTACCTAGTAACAAAAGGATGAAAGCAAGATGATTCATAAGCCTGTGGATGATTCAAGTCTTACAATTGATAATATTCTTAAAGGAAATCAGTATGGCATTATGTGTATAACTAAGAGCATTTTATAATCCTATGTCGCTTTAAACATCATAATTGAAAGATAAAATAGAGGAAGAATCTTAGGATGAAAAGGTCAATTTTTTCTAAGAAGTTTAATTGTTAACCAAAATACCTGAAATTGTTTCATTCAATTTAATTTATAATTACAAGACAATTTTTAAGAATGAAGGCATCCCATATGAGGAAGCTAAGCATTTAGATAAAAGTATTGTCAACAATAATGTTAGCTCGAATTAAAAGAAAAGAAAGGGAGTTAAAGGTTAGTGGAGCCTCTGTAGAAAAAGATGTTGCACCAACTAAGAAACAATATGTTAGACTATATAAAAACCAGATATCTAAAATTTGTTTTACGGCTCCAAAAAGTCTTTCTTTGATTAGCCAACATTTAGGAAATAACACTAAATGGGAGAAGCAATTAAAGATATAAGACTTTGGTGGATTGAGGCCTTCTTTATCAATAGTTCAAGAGAAAACCACAGGAAGATTCTACATCTATGATAACAAATTAGGAAAAGTACATATCTTTAGTTCAGACATGTTGATTAATGACAATAAGGATAAACCTTTAGTTTCATTAAATCTGAATGAAGACAAACCTAGGTAAGATCCATTATTATATTTAATTGAATGTGAACATGAATATTAATGGAAGAGTGTGCTGCTGGTAATAGGAGGACATCATTTATAAAGAGGAGAAAAGAAGCCTTTGAAGACTATAAAAGTTTTTGAAATAAAAAGAAGAGAAGTTACATTAACACCTGTATTAACAATAACAATGACAAAATCGAGAATGAATCCTATAGTTTTTGATCTGATTAAAGACAAAGGACTGATTTGGTAAGATAAGGATAATGGAGATAAGGAGAAAGTAGATGCCGAACATAGATCAGTGGATTAAAAGTACATTTTTATAATGGGTGGCAATCCGTTATTAGAGTATGAAAAAGAAACTGATCAAGAGTTGATTGAGGCTAATTAAACATGCGAATATGTTAGTTTAAAATTAATATTGGAACATATAGCTAGAGCTAAGCTAGTATATATAATCTAATATTTTTAAATAGTTTTCTATGACAGATTAAGCCAATTTGAGTTTGAATTTTGGAAAATTCTCAATTGTTGATACTCTGACAATTAAGTATCAAAACATTATTGCTACTGAGAAGGTTTATAACCATTTTTATAATGCTTCTGTGACAAAAATGGTTGACGATGTATTCAAATAAAAAGCATTAATAATTCTGGGAGGCAACACCTCTTAAACATTCTAAATTTAAGCTATTTCATTCAAATTGAATGAGATTACTTTGATTGGATAAACAAAATAAATATAAAAACCATCTCTTATATACTCAGCTAGCAATTTAAGGTACAGTACATTAATAACAGAGATATTTTGAGAAGAAAGTCTTTTATTTTGATGAGACAATTAAAAAGGATCCATCACAATTATAAAACATGGAATCCAGAAGGGATACAAAAGTAGCTTGTAATTGCAGTATAATGTGATTATAAGAATAGTTTAACTTTATAATTTAAAAAATATATACAAGTTATTAATACAGGTTAAGCAAATTCCAAATCCTAAAATCCTAAATTTCTAAAATTCATTCCTATTGGAAAATATGTTATGAAAGATGGAACCTATGATTTTCCAAGAGCAAAAGAAGCTTAATGTTCACCACTTGCCTTAAACCTTTTTAGCATAGACGGAGTCACCAGAGTATTCTATGGAATGGATTATATATCAATAGCTAAAAAAGAAGATAGTAAATGGGATGATTTGAGATCGAAGATTTTTGAATATATGTTCGATTAATTTGAATTGAATCAAGCTGGTTCAGAGAGAAAATTCATTTATGAGGGATTCAAACAAAATCAAGACTCAATTTTTAAAGAAGATGATAGTAAAGTAATTAAGAATTTGAAACATCGCCTGTTCAAATGATCAAAGATATATTAAATCATAGAATCAGACCTGATTTCTAAGAGGATGAATGAGATATAGTATTTCGAGAATTTAATGAATAGAAGGAAATCTTATATTTGGATAAAAAAGGATCCTGTGTAGGATGTTCTTCTACAGGAATTAAGTTAAAAAATAGATTCGAAAAGGTGCTTTGTCAAAATGTAGTTGAAGTTAAATAAGTTATTGCTGAAGATTATGTAGGATCTGATTGAGTGTAAATTTTTAAAGATTATTTGAATCAATCATCATCAGACTGATATTCTTCTTCTTCTTCATCCATTTCATCTATTTGATCATCATTTGATTAATTGCTATACAACATTTTTAATTCATGGGCATCCTCTCTTTCATCAAAAATCAATTAGAATCTGTTATTCTCTAACATATTATCATAAAACAATAGATGTTTTTTGTTTGGTGGCCAAGTAGACTATTCTGGAGGTGGAATTAAGGTATCGATAGATAATCTACATAATAATATACATGTATTACCTGAAGGCATTCTCTACCATGGCAGGTATAATTCTGCCTAATAGAGGAGAACTTAATTCTAAACATGGATTGGTGTTGATTTCAATTAAGTATGGTTAGAATTTCTCATCTATCATAAAGTCTAATCCAAAAATTTCAAAGTTGTAGTTTCTTTTGTATGGCTCAATCTTATGGTATACAGATTTGATAGCATTCAAAGTAATCATTTTCAATTAGGGATATAAATCCTTATAGAAATTCAAATGCTCATTGCTATGCCATTTATCTAGATATCTTTAGAATTCTGCAAAAGACAACTTGTTCCCATTTTCATATTTTCCATAAGCTTCACTATATTTTTAAATAGCATCATTAGTTAAATGCACATACTAATTACTAACATCTTTAATATCAAATTCTTCACTTGAAGTTCTGATGTAACCTTCTTCATACCAATAGGCTCTTATAATGTTATTTAATTGAGTTATCAAAAAGTAACATCTGATGTCAAATTTTCTTTTATTGTATAAGAACGGTTTTTCAATGTATTTTTGTATCAAATATGTAAATGGTTTGCCATTGGGATGCACTTGCCTTTTGCTGACAATTTTGTGAATTTCAGCTAAGGATTAACAAACAATGATTCCATTTCCTCTGTTGGTAAATTCTCCTGGCTTTACAATCCAGATATTGTTTCCCTTCCTTTTAAATATTTCTAAAATACTTCTATTTATAATATTCCATAAACTATTAATATGATTTGTCTTTGAGTCCAGAAACATGGAATGTGATAGGTAAATGTAGAAATAGCTCTTGCTTTGTTAATTCATAATATTTCTTCATATTATGGAACATGGCTTTCTTATTACCTAGATGGTAATTTCTCTCGATATGATTGTGAATCTAAATAATTGGATACTTTATTACTTTATTAACATTCTCAATTAGTTTTAAGTCCTTCTTTTCAGCATATTTAATAAAACTTTAAATAGACTTTTCTAAAGATTTTAGTTCATTCACATCTTATTCTATAATTAATTTCTACAATGGATCATCAAATTTTCCAAATTTATAACTTTGTTTATTATTTTTAGGAGATTGCTGTTGTCTTCTTGTTTTTCTTAAATCAGTAGATGTTTAAGACAATGACTTTTATCTTGTAATAAATGGATCTTTGCTCCATTCTTATAGATTCATAAATTACGGAACCTTAATTTATGTCCAAATAAAATTTAATTCCCTATTATCGGCTTCTTGATTTAAATTCCACCACCATCTAGATTTAAATAGCTCTTTTATTAATAAACTATTGTTTCCTTTTCCAACTTTGAATTTTAACTCAGTCACATTTTCAGATGGTTAAACATAAAAATTACTTTGTGTAGACACAATAAAAATCAAATAGTGGTAACTTAGTAATTTCATTTAAAATAACTATTCTCTACTTAATGATGAGTAATCTGTTAGTGAAAATCTGAAATTTTGATTTGTCTTCATACTTTATTATGAAATATTTTTCATTTTATTTGAAGGTGATTAATGTCTTCTCTTCTAAACTGAACGACTATACAAATCTCTTTTTTCAGCATATGATTTTGAGGTCTCTCTCTCTTTCTCTTGAGACATAGCTTTACTTCTAATAGATTATTATTCTTGTAATTTGAATGACTTGATTTGCATTCCCATTATTCTCATGTGATTCTCATGTGCAACTTCATCAATTTTCTATTACATTCCTCCTAATATATTTTATAATATAGTTCTTGTTTTATCGTTTTCAATCACATTTTTTATTTTAGAAGTTGACTTCTTTAATTCATTCATGTTTGACTTTTTTTCATCGACTAAATCATCATTACTTGTTTATAGTTTATGCTACAAATATTAGAATTTATCAATCTTCTATAAGATCAACTCCTCCTGTTTTACATCTGAAAAAACTAAACTTACAGTCCCATCCTTTTAATGAGATTATCTTCTTAAAGCTATATATTAAGTTATAATTAAATACATTCTAATTGTTATTTCTTTATGGCTTACAATGCTCTTGGTAAAGATATCTGTCTCTATTCATTTGGTCTATGTTTAGAAGGTATATGTTATATAACGATTCTTTATTATTTGTTTCTCTGTAGTTAATTATACTTATAACAGGATCTTGCAACAAAAGCAGTCATAGGGTTAATTGGAGTAGGATTAAAAAGACTTTATATTTATGGAGTATTAGGAAATATTGTTAAATCCTCTCTTAACATTATTAAAACAGAAATTTATTTATAAAATTAATAATAATAACTATCGAAAGCAGAATTTATTACAATTCATTATCAAAAGTCATAATTTATGGTAGAAACGAATTCATAAATCATTGAAGATGTCAATTTAAAATAAATTATAACTTTGATAATTAAATATCAAATATAATTATAAAATATAAGTATAATATAAATAATAAATATTTTTATTAGATCCATTGTTTATAAAATTGAGAAAAATGAAATCAAAGTAGTTGATTAAGAATTGGAGGGATTAAACTATTTGTAATCAATAATTAATATTCATAATTTAATAAAATTGATTTGACATTAAAAACATAGATTTAATGAAATTGAAAATAATAATAATTAAATTACAAAACTAATCAATCACCAGAATATACAAAACATAGCAGTTACAGATCGAAGTCCACATCCGAAATTAAAATCATCTTAACCATTTTAACTTAAAGGATAAGCTTTCAAAACCATCATCTATTAGGAGGAAAAGAATTCTAAAGTTTATTCTAAATTTGGTTCATAGATTTAAAATTCAGTTGTCAGCCCATTTTTCAATTAAAGTTCTAAATACAAAAATGAAAAGAGATTCGACAACTTAAATTATGAAGCTGGAATCATATAAGATAAAAAGCTAAATTGATAAAATAAATATTTACTTTTCTCTTGCATCAAATATAGGTTATATAGCATACTATTATTATTGTAAAGTCTAGCAAATAAAGGCATGAGCCTATTCTTTGTATCCAAATACAGTTTTTACACTAAATCTAGCATATTTTCCAAGTTAATCTTGTAGTTCGCTTATTGTTCCTTAAGCTATTATAACTCCATTAATGAAAATTCCAACTCTATTGCATATTAATAAGGTGTCTTAGATGGATTAAGTTGTTATTAGAACACCAGCTTCGTTGTTAATTGAAGTTTATTGAATTATTTAAGAAACCTTTCTTTTAGATTTTAGATCCAATCCTTATAGTATTTCATCTAAAAATAATCTATTCGAACCTCCCATCAATGCCATACCCAAATGAAGTTTCTTAGTTTCAACTTCATTGAGATATTGAATTTATTTGTATTTAATTTCAAACATATCAAAAGCTTTTAAGAAAATATCAATGCTCTAATCAAGATTTTATTAACCTTTGATTTTGCCAGAGAATTCTAACATTTATTGTACTGTGAGTGAGGATTTGAAAATCTAAAATTGAGGAGCAAAACCAACATGGGTGTTTTAATCTCGTATTCTAATCTTTCCATTTACAGGCTGATCATATCTATTGATTAAATTTACTAATTGTGATTTTCCAGCATTTTTAGGCCCCACTAATCCAAATATCTCTGATTTATTAATTTAGAAATTGATCTTCTCTCTTGTTATAATGGATCCATATTTCCACTGAACATCCTATAGATCTATTACAGCATTTGCATCATGCATTTCTTCTTCTAATTATTTATGTTACTTAGTTTCTGTAGTTATTAAAATCAAAAAATACAAGCCTCCTCCAATTAGTAAAAATAATAAACAAGACCAATATCCAAAAATAGCTAGATTCAGTAAACTTGGGCTCATTCCAAACCCTATGTAACAAGCCATATATGGTGAAACTATCATCATCATCATAGCTAAAATAGATACACCAGGGGATACTCCAGGTAAGGCGATTCCTAACATAATACACAAGAATATTAGATAAAAAACAAATACTGTCAAAAAAGGTATGCCAAAACATAAGTTACCTGATTGTGACTTTTACATAAAATAATTCACTTAGCAACTCAAACTAAAACCAAAAATAGTTATTAACAAAGTAACAGCAAAAAAGTGAAATCCAAAGTGACCAACATTATAAATCCATAACAAACCTGCAGTATAGATACCTTCAACAAATGAAATGATCAAATCTGTTAATAGAGTACCTAACCAATATGTTCGAATAGATACACCGCTGGCCAATAGAAACGATTTCATTTGAGTATTCTTTTCCTCAAATTAATAATCTGTAAATAGAATACTAGTCATAGCCTTTATTCCTAAATAGAAAAATACAAATCTAAAAGCTGAAAACATGCCAAACATCACAGACAAAGCAATTAAAAAGTACAAAAATATATATTTGATTTATTTGTCTTTCTCAGTGAGAATTAATAATAATTTTCTCTTTATCAAACCTTGAATTTGAGATTTTAATTATATTTAAGGTTATTATTGAAATATTCCTTGAACATTAAAATCAATATCTTAACCCTCTGAGTTATCGATTGTCTTATAATAATCCTCTAATTAATTATATTTTAAAGAGAAGGTACATTTAGAATTCTATTCTAAATATTAGAAAATTTGATGAAATTAATCCATTTTGTATAAAGGTAATACAGAAATTAGAGTAGTTTCATCTCTTTGAATAGCTTATATTAAACTGTCAATTCTTTATAATTATAATTGGATTTTTGGTTTTTCAATTAATAATTGATTCTCATCTGTGAATTTCATATTCAAATTATAACCAATTCCAAAATTATTTTTAATAAACTCTGGAGTTCCTTATGCCACAATTTAACCATTTATTAATACTCCCATTCTGTTTGCTATTTGCTCGGCCTCCTCAAATTATAAACTAGTAAAAACAATTGATCTATTTAATCGAATTTATTTTAAAATTTACCAAATTTACTATTTTGCCTATACATCCAAGTCTTAACTTGGTTCATCATAAAATAATACTTGAGGATTTCCAATAAGTGAAATTGCTATACACAATTTTCTAGAATTTAAACTAGTTAGTTTACTAGCCTTTAAGTTGGTTTCTGCAACTAGTTAGCAAAAAATAAGGATATTATTAATCTGAATAGTTAATTATTCTTGAGTTATTCCTTTTATAGAGCCATATAGTTATAGATGCTCTTATACAGTTAAATCTTCATACAAAATATCCTATTACATACATATACCAATCTATTTTTTTAAATTTTTATCAATTTCTAAACCAAATAGTTTAATTGAGCCTGATGTTTATTGAGTTAGCCCTTAAAGAATCTTTATCAATGTTGATTTACCAGACCCTTGAGGTCCGATTAAACAATAAGTTTCATTTTAATAAACATCCAAATTAATTGATTTTAGTATTGATTACTCACCAATTTGATAACCTAGATTTTCTGTTTTAATAATTGATTATCCTTGAATTTCAAAATCCTATTATATATTTAAAAATGGTTTTTAGAGTTATTAATTTCTATTCCCACTATTTTAATCGCAAGGATCTTCCTAAAGAAAAACATGGGTCTAATTTTGATTTTTGAAACAATTCCAAAATTTTTTCTTTAGGGTTCCTTTGTTTATATCAAAGTATACAAAACAAAACAAATATACTATTATTTAGAATATTAAGAATGCTATGTATGTAATTTTACTTAAACAAACCCATCTTATATTAAAAACCCAATTTTCACTAAACAAAAGCATTTAAAAGGCAGATTAAGGTAAAAATACAGCTGGCAATTATCCAAAAAAGGAATATTCAGGATAAGGGTAAAAGTTAACATATGAAGCAAATGAAAATATCACATTTAATAGACCCAAAAATTCGCTAGCTTTGAGTGGACTCACAAAAAATATACTTAAAAAGAGCATGAAAGACGACAATGCAATATTATACAAAATATCTCCTGATATGAATAGAATTACATCTACTGATGCTTAGCCTGCAGTATTTAATTACATAATAAAAAAAGGAATCAAGTAAATTACTGAAATCACAAAGGTAAAAGTAACAGCAGTGATGATCCAAGATGAGTAATATGAAATTAAATTCAAACCAATTTGAAGTTACAATTCTTTGGATTAACAAGTTCTTTCAGATACAAATAATTGAATTGTTTATCTGATTACTCCATTGTTGTTCAAGCAAATAAATATTGGAAGCAATTATATAAATATATTTTCTTAAGCCATTTGGGAAACAAGTATACTCAATATGGGAATATATAGATTGAGCCAAAATTATCTGGATCTAAAGTGTAAAGTGAAATTCTTGTCTAATAATGTTAACAACTAATTCATTTCAATCCAAACTACAATTTTATTTATTTTTATATTAGCAATTTTAACACTATATAGAATCCTTTTACATATAGATGTGATTTATTAATTTTTTTATTTATTTGAATTCTCTTATCTCAAACTTATTTATGTATTTTGCTATATTAACATATACAATAAATTATCAATTAGGTTTTTCATTTGCCATATGGATACGAATATTTCTTCCTCCGAATTTGGTACCATTTTAGTTTATTACACTGATAACATTTCTTTAGATCTACATAATCCAAAAGCAGATCCTTTAGACTAACCATCCTAGCCTCTTAATAATCTGAGATTAAATAACTCAACTCCTCTATTTTTGAATTCGTTTGTAATTTAATCTTTTGTAATTTAAAATCTAATCCACCAATAAATATTTCTTATTATTTTTTAACTGTTTAAGACACTTAAACTGTTAGTTATTAATGATAATTTTGATGTGATTAAAATTATTCTTCAACTGTATGTGGGAGACTAGTCACTTATTCAATTTCAAATCCTCTACAATATCAATTTTGAGATATCTCCTAGTATTGACTTTCAAATTCTTCCTTGACATCTATTATCAAATGCAATACCATTCTTATTTCTTAATTTTTTGATACCTTTAATGTATTGCAAATTTATTCTGAAAAGTTATTCTATAAGAATTTCCAAGTATAACCACAAGCCTGAAATGGAGTTGATAATCTTAAAACATACGTTATATATCCCTCAAAAGTTTCCAAATTAGATCTATTCTGTAGTATATCCTTGTAACCACTCGCACATGCTAAAGCTCTAGCTAAAGCTTCTACTGGATCGCATCTGGATAAGATTTCTTAAGCCACAGGTTAAAACAAATCAACAATTTCTTTATTATAGTAATTATATTACAATTATTTTATCTATTACTACTTATAAACTAGTTTCTAAATCTCTTGAGCTTGTTTTGTAATATCTTAATGTTGAGGCGCAGAAACTTTTATGAATTTTATTTTTGCTACTCTTTCTCTTTCAACTCTTTCAATATAACTCATATCCTTCTTTGAATAAAAAGTAATACCTATTCCATCCTTTCCAGCTCTACCAGTTCTACTGATTATAAAGGAATGTCTTCATGTAAAAGGTTGTGGTTCAGCCGGTAATTTAGAATGCATAATAATTTCATTGCATTCTCTTTTTGTCTCACAAAAAATAATCGTTCTAGCATGACTACCACCATAAACTGAAACTATATCACCTATTGCAACTGTTAATTAATTTTTAGCACATTATAGAGCATAATTTTTGACTCTGTTGAAGTTTAAGTCTAAATATTTAGATTAATAAAATTACCTCATGTCTCTTAATTAATATGTTTAGTATAGTAGCATTATATAACAGCATTTAAATTTTTCTATCATTATTGAAATATGACATGATCTTTTCAATATTTTCTTAAAACCCAAAATTCAACATTTGATCTGCCTCATCCAAAACAACCACTTAAATTTCATCTAATTTTAGAACCATTCTTTCCAAAAGGTCCTATATTCTTCCAGGTGTTTCAACTACTATTTCACATCTTTTTCTCACTTAATCGATTTAGTTTTTAAGATCATTCATTTTCTTTATTTAAGATAGAATTAAATTCAGTAGTTACTTGGATAGCCAATTCTCTTGTTGGTAATAATACTAATACATAAGGATTTTTATTTTATTTATTTTATTCCTAATCCTCGTATTCTTTCTAGAATTGGTAGACAATAGGCAAATATTTTACCTGAACCTGTTCTATCTTACCCTATTATATCATCTCCATTATAAATTGTTTCAAAACATTATTATTGGATTGGAAATAAATATTTAATGACTCGACACTTTCATTTAATGCTAACTTCTTACTTCTAAGACTTTTCTGGTTTATTTGTTTTTTATATAAATCTTCAGGTTGCTCTCATCTTTTCCTTTATCTTTTAATAATCTCTGGTTCAATTTTAATTCAGAACTTTTTCTTCTTGTTAACATTAATTGTTAATAAAAATTTATAATTTAAATAATTGATAATTTTTATTATTTCTTTCATTTATTAGGAATTCATTATTTGCTGCTACGTCTTGTTTTTAATTAGAATTTTTATAAATTCTTCTTTATTTTATTTCTTCTAAGAAATCTAAGCCTCGACATTTAGTAGCTAATCTCAGATATAAATAATAATTAAATTAAAAATAAAATCTGAAAAATTTACATAAAATTATAATAATAATGTATTGTCCATTTATCAAGTAATTCTATTAGTTTAATTTAAAAACAAAAGAATTTATTCAATTAATTCTAACGTGGATAAGTGTATTATAGATTCTTGAGATTCGTTGTAATTCCACATGAGTATTAGTTTTCTAAATTGTATAATAGTGTAAAAATTTTAGAATTTCTTGGTATTTAACAATTATTAATCTGTTTCACTCAAATTAAAAGTGGGTCTATGTCTTGAAAAGTAGTTGATTTAAAATACGAATTATTAAAAAATAAATAAGTTTAATATTCTTTGGCTTTTGCTTATTATTTTAAAAATAAATTTAATCTAATGAGAAAGTCAATCTTGATTTAATGATCCTGTTATAAAATCTTTATAAATTTGTATTTCTATTCTATTTATAAGGGAATAATGTAAATTATATTAGAAATTAACTCATCTAATAATCAAAGTTGATTTTTAAGTAACTTATTCCATCAATATATAAGGCAAACAAGAAAGTAAAATTATATAAAAAAATAATTATTCAAATTATGATTAGAAATATGTGTTTAATTTAGAATTCAATAATTGTGGGGATGTTTAAATAAATACACAATTTTCAGTTTATTTGATTTTTTATGAGATTTTAATAATAATAAAATATCGAATTGAGTTGTTTGTATAGATTAAGATCATCTAATATTAAAATAAAGTAAATTTATTAGACTTAGATGATTAGGATTATCAAATAATGAAGGAAAGTTTAAGAAAATAAAAAGTGGATGAAAATTAGATTATTAGATTGAAAAACATAAATGGTTAAATGCATTATAAGATTGGTGTAAAGGCTAGAACTTCAATATTAGAATTGGAAGAAACCATTTTTTGATAATTTAGTCAAATACAGGAAAATTATGAAGTGAAATGAAAGATAAGAAATTCTTTATTAGTTGAATTGAAAATGAAATATATATTTAGTCGTAATGAGGCAAATCTTACATATATGTAAATAATGATTAATTAAATTTGGTATAAATGAATTGTATTATATATTTAAAATTCAAAATGATATGAAAGGCTATATAAGTATATATTATAAGCTATAAAATGATAATTATTAAAAAAAATATTTAGATAAATGATTTAAGATTCTATATTTGCTGAATCCTTTTGGAATCCCATTTAAGATAATTAAGTGCTGAACTCTGATGATGAAGAAGTAAATTATTTTGTTTAATTTGAAGGAATAAACATATTAGCTGTACGCCGATAACAGCCTATAGACATTTAAAGTGAGCTCAGGTCAATTATATGCCAATAGTTAATATATAAATTTGATGGAAACATATATCAGTTTAGATGAGAAAGGAGTGACACTTTAAAATAAATATGGTTCAATAAATGTCAACGGGCCTGATTTATAGTAGTTTTACTAGATGATAAACTAAAGATGCACTCACTTGGATATTCAATCGTATTATGAAATTGAGAAAGTGTTGTTCTAATTAGAGAAATTCACAGTAATTTTTTGTTGTTATAAATAGATCTTGCAAGCTCGAGATAGAATGAGTGGGATGCTAAAGTCAATAAAATAGTATTCAAAATCCGAAGGCAAACAATATTTGAAAAGGATAATTAGGAACTAAAAATATGAATATATATATGAGGATGAACAATTTGTCTATATTGTCATTTCATATTTAAATGGAAAGCCAATAAATGAATTACCCTTTGAATAATCGTTTTTTGGATTATTAAAAATGTTGTACAAATACCATAATGAAGGATTCATTCTAAATAAATTTTTAGTAAAAGTCGTATATATTTTGTTATAGGCTTCGAATGTTATTTTATTGGATGATAATTGTAATATGGACATCTTAGACAATTGCCTGATTGAAAGAATGACACATGAATATTCTAAGGAAATATATTAAGATGTCCAATTAATTAAGGCTTACTTAATTATATAGTAAGTTAAATAATTATTATTAGATTCCCTGATTAAATAGATGCTATCCAAGAAATGATTAATAATAATGTTTAATCAGTTCAAGAACTCTTGTTTAACTAACTTTTCATCAATTACTTTGGAGAGAGCGAATTCTATATATTACTAAATTCATAACCGTATTAAAGATAAAATCATTTGTCTTAAAACTCAAAATTAAATTTATTAGAAACATTCAATACTATTAGATCAAGCATTATGGATTCATCTGATGAATTTGAAGAAGTTCAAATAAATAAATAGTTTAATTTCTGTTCCTCATAATTTGATGATTCTCCAATGTTATCTCCTAGTGTTAAACCAAAACATCAATCAAGATTGTCAAGTAGACAAGTAGTTTTGGAAACACTTCTTTAAGAAAACATCATAACATAATAATAATTTTAATAATTCTATAAAGAAGAGGATTTTCAAAATGAATAAGAAATCAATGAATTTAGTGAAATGCTCACAAAAGAAATAGAGAACTCAACTCTTACTACTCCAATCTAAAGTGATGTAATATCAAATTATAAATATCTTAGTCTAATACGACTTGTCCCAATACTGTTATTATTCATAGTAAAAAAAATGCAGCAAATCGCATTTGCGATATTCTACATGAAACTTAGTAAGAATTAATGTAAGCAGCCAAAAAACCATACAATGTGAATAAAGTGTAAAATGTTAGGAAAAATCTATTTAATTTACATTGATATCTGAATCAACCCTATTCATAATTTTTGTTAATATTTTATAATTTATACTTCATACTTACATTCCACTTATCACTATCCTCTAAGTTATCCCATAAAACCTCCACTTTAAAGAGGGTTTATACATCTTGGATAATTTTACGACCTTGTCATTTAGAATTTTAAATTCTAATTCCATAAATTAATTAATTCAAAACAAAAAAAGGGGGATGTTAACATTACTAAATCACTTGAAATAAAATCCAAACATAGAGGTTGGTTTTGGATAGATTAATAAAAAATTACAATTTGTCATAATCCAATATACTACACTACTGAAATTGATGGCTATGTCATTGTCTAAGTCACTGGAAAAAATAGTGAATACTATTTCTTCGACCTTGGGAATCCTTTTGTGTATAATCTGAACTAAATGGATTATGAAGGAGCTACAAAAAAGAATAAACCAAACGTTTAAGTTGTATATTTTAGAGTAATTGAATTGAATCGCTACCTCAAAAAAAAAGGCAAATTGTCATGCATAAATCTTTAAAGCAAAAAAACGAATGGGTATTTTAACATCTAGACTACTGGAGAAAATCTATATAGAGAGTAAGCAGGAGGAGTGATTGTGGATTTGCCTTTGAATTTTTTGTAAAGTCTTTTAAGTTTTTAAGCAAAACCAGAATTATTTAAAGAGATAAGCAAGTACTCAAGTTTCGAAGTCTTTTTGGGTAAAAATGGAAGGATTTGGATTAAAGGCCATGATGCTGTTTTAATAAATTTTATTAAAAAAATGTGTACTTTAATAATTAGATTAACAATAAATTTGATAAATAAATTTTCATCTTAATTTTAGTTATGAAGTTTGAATCAAGATTATTTAATATATTTCACCTTTTTTATTTTTAAATATTTAATAGAATCCTAATGAAATTGGCTAAAACACTCATCTAAAAATATACTTCATCTTTTGCTCATAAGAAAATAACATGCTCCACAAAAGTGGTGTCATTTATTTTAAATTATTAAATAAAATGTTTTGTTGGATTTTCAGAACTTTTTTTTAATTGATGCAAATAAATAAAAGAAGTATCTATTCATCCATAATTACAAACTTTGCATTTATTTATAAAAATTAATTGCACATCTCATTTTCTTGGAAGAAGGAAAATATTAATATTTGGAGAAATGAATTACCTTGAATCTAATTTCATATTATGAACTTTTTATTTAAAGGTATATTTATTTTTCTAAATAATTATAAATTACATACTTAATTCTATGATTATTTATAAAAGAAATTAATACAAAGAGAAAATAAATTATCTGTGATTTATATCCAATTTTAATAATCTATTATATAATAATCTGGAAACACATCGTTATATTAGAATCCAAAAGTTTTATTTTTCAAACCAGATTTTCATCCATCCCAAAACTATCAATTTAATTCCATATAAAGCCATCAATAAATTCAAATGCGTTACAAGAGTAGGCAACTTTTATAATAAAATTTCCTTTGGTTGCGAAATAATAATTATCTGATATATAACTATATATTCTTGATTGTTTTCATAAGGGACTTAGATAAACTCACTACTTTTTTAAATACTTTATATCATTGAATTGACAAGTGATATGCTATTTGATTGAAACTCTAAAAATTAATAATCTTAGTAATTCATATATTATTTTATTTAATACTATTTTTCAATTTAAAATCTTAAATGTTTGAGATACTTTGCATTTTACTGCTTAGATCGACTCCATTGTCATCATCTTCCTCAATATTCCCACTTGATTCCTCCAAATTGAATTTGAATTCAGCATTACCACCTATATTTTATAACATATCTTAATTAAAGGCTGAATTTCTTGAACTGACTTGAGCATAAATAATGCTATTTTAATGAGGATCTGGGTCATTGTAATCTGTTTGAGTTTTGAAAGGATTATGATTGCTATTATTAATGACACACATATAGGAGCCTCTATTATTTTTGCTTCTTAATTTTTAACTCTTTCGAGCAGTATATTGTTTGCTCTGTCTGCTTGCAATACTAAATACATCAGCTTAACTTTCCTCGCACATTAGAATGGAGCCCTAGGAAATTAACTTCTATTTTTCCTTAAAAGCAGATACAATCTAACTCAATTCTATGGATTTCTTTTAATTTAGATTCTTTTCCATTTTCATTATCTAATTGAATAGAAACCAATAATACACGATGCCTAGCTTTCAAATTCTTCATTTTTGTTTCTATATGGAGATCCAACTATTCAGTCAAGGCTGAATATAGACTCATTAGATCTTAAGTCACTTCATCAAATAGCTATTGAGATTATTCTACATAATCCATGACTTTCTAATTGTTTTCCAATAATTATTCTAATCTTCTTTCCATAAATTTCAATTCCTTAATATTCAATTGAGTTTGTTCTCTTTTATTATTGAGATATTCTGTGTCACTCTCCATCACAAACTGATCCTTTAATTTTTGAATTTCTATATTTTCTTCATGCTCTTTCAATGTTTAAGTTAAATTCATTCCCATAACTGCAACAGGCCTATTGTTATTTGTATATATACAATGAAATAGATGTAATTCCAAGAAAGGCAGCTATGCAAGCAATGAACTTTCCAGGGACACTCAAAGGTAACTTATCCCCATATCCAACTGTAGTCATTGTTGCAATACACCACCAAATAGCTTCAGATATAGAATGGATTTCTTATTCATCTTCCTCTATTTTTGTATCATCGTATTCTAAATAATACATCACAATTGAGAAAAATAAAATCAAAAAAAAGAACATTGTAATCAAAATTATTATGTCCTTTGCTGAATGCTTTACTGTATCTGCCTTTTTAAGTGATTCATATATTTACAATCATTAGCATGTCCTTCATGAACCTTGAAAGCTTGAATAACCGAAACACTCTCATAAATCTGACAATTCTGATTACTCTTAATCCAGACAAACTAGCCCCTTCAAAAATGAGATTAAATAAAAAAGGCATTATTGCAAGTAAATCTATTAAATTCAAGGGAGAAAAAATAAATTTGACTAATTTAGAATCAAACGCAGTTGAACTAAACATCCTCAATAAGTATTCTAAACCAAAGAAAATGAACAGATAATATTCTAAATAAAATGAAATCTCATCATATTGAGGATTACTTTCTATATTATTATTAAATATCATACTGTTTTCCATTAATGAATCAACTATAATTGCTACACAAGACAATAATATACTAGTTAGTAACAGGAATTGTAAACAATAAGCTATTAAAGAAGAGTTAGGATCTTCTAATAATATGTAAATATATTATTGCATCCCTTTACATAATACTTTCAGTTTTCCAAAAAGACTTTAGTTTTGCAGTTTTCTTCTTAAAGAAAAGTCTTCAGTTCTGAATTTCTGTATTCTACTCTTAATATTCATATTTTATTTAGATTCATTCACTTTTTGTGTTTCGTCCTAATCTAAAATAAGGAAAGCATTCTATCTCGGAGAAATAAACTAGCTCAATTTTGAATCTTATTCCATTCAATTCTAAAATTTAATATTTAATAAATAATTAAATAGCAAGAAATAAGTATTAGAATATTGTTATGAAGATGGATCAATTTGAGAATATAAATTCTATAGAGCAAATCAGTTAATAACATAAATTCATAATTATTTAATATTCAATAACCTTTTCTCTTAGGCTAATCAGATTCGTGCATTTGATATTAAAAATAATTGTAATTTATGAATTGTTATCCATATAGATAATAAGAATTTTGAAGTTCATCGTATTAGAAATTTTGACCATAGTAATATTATTAATCCATCTAATTCACTTATAATCCTGGATCAGGAGTCTATGAACTTGGGGTATAAGTTTTTCGGCGGCTAAACATTAAGGATTTGAATACTTATTCGGAACATATCCTTTACCAATGCCATAGATTATATTCATATTTTTATCGAAATCGCCTTATAAATCTGGGTAACAAAACTTCAATTGATAATAGCATTGTAAAGTTAGTAAAGCATCTGATCCTGCTTAATGTTCAGGACCTATACGAGTCACTTCAACCTTGGTTGCCAGTCTACTTAATCCTGCATCCTTGTATTTTTGATTGTCCTTTAAAATGTATTTCAAATCATAAATTTAAGGAAAGTAAAGCTTCATAATTTTATAAAATTCTTCTTGTGTATCCGGAATTCCAGAATGATGAAATAAATGCAGTAAGTAACCAAAGTCAAATTCACCATGAAATACTACATACTTAATCTCATCATTTAAGATTAGTCCTTATTTACATAAGCTTTAATTATACCGCTTCCAGTAATTACTTCACAAAATAAGGAGTAATCTATTCCTTTTGATGCTAAGTCATCAAATCTGATTCCTGCCTATTCTAACATTGCCTTAACAGGATTCATCAATTGATCATATCTAATATTAAATTTTCAGATACTATGCATTAAATTTAAAATGAAATTACCAAGTGTTCTTAATCAAAGGTACTTCACCAGCTTCATTTGCTAAGCTTATACCAAGTTATATAAGTTTGTATTTTTAAACATTTCTTACTAATTATTAATATTCATAATCCTAATAATTTGACATTCAACTCACCTTATCGTCGTTTTCTGGTTGATCATACTCTGTTCCTGGAAACTCGGTATCCTAAAATTTAAAAAATCATTACTAATGATATAACATTAAATTCTTCAATAAGCGAAGCTATTTCTGTTATTTCAGCCATGAAATTGTGAGCCCATACATCAATAATATTAGTTTTTGATAAATTTGCTAATTTCACTCTGGGAACGGATTCTTTCATCTTGGTTATGTAAACACATTTTACTTTCCAACTCATCTTTTAATATTATTAAAATATAATTAAATAATTTGAAAGTTAGTTTTAATTTTTTATTATTTATTGTATTAATATTATCAATAGGATCTTCCCCATAAAACATATCTCTTGGCTTAGTGGCCACAATGGAAACATTTCTCTCCCTCCTTAATCTCATCTTGTTTCAATGGCATACATAAAGTCTTGGCACTACCAGTAAGTTGAACCTACCCATCAATCTCTGAATCCTTCTCTTTTGATTCTACGCCTGACTTTGTTTTAACTTACTATTCACATTCTTCTCTTTAACACCTTCATGAATGAATTAATAGAATACCATTTAGTTAATATTGTATTTCTTTGATTTAATTGAGCCATAAACTCTTTCCAATTATCAGCCTGTTTGATTCTTTACTTTAATTCTATTTAAGCTTTTTAAAACATAGCATTGTGAATATTATCGAGAATTTAATTTAATTAATTTAGATCTTCTATTTTAATTTAATATTTCTTATTGTCAAATCTTTAGACAACTCTAACTTCATTATTTTTGAATTCTTCTGGTCCAATCTCCAATCTGATTGGAACTCCCTTCTATTCCCATTTATTAAATTTCCATCCTGGAGAATAATTATCTCTATTATCAAAGTGAACTCTTAACTTTTATTTGATTAATCTAAAATTTATTCTAATATAAATACATCTATTTAATTTACTCACATTTTTCATTTAAATGCTTTTCATCAAGATCTTTATTAATAATAGGAATTATAACAATTTAATATTTAGCAACCCTTGGTGGTAATACCAATCCCTTATCATCGCCATGGAACATAATCATGGCACCGATAGATCTTGTTGTTAAACCCCAACTTGTTTACCACACAAATGCTTTCTATCTCTTATCATCTTCAAACTTAATCTCAAACATCTTGCTAAAATTTTATCCTAAATGATGTGATGTGGCTCCTTGTAATCCCCTTCCATTCTATGGGATTATAGTTTCAACTGTACTAGTAAAATCACCTCCTGCAAACTTTTCTGATTCTGTTTTAATCTATTCTTATAATTATATCTATTACTCCTTTAATCACTGGGACTGCCAATAATTCACCATAAACTTATTCATAGAAGTCCAGAATAGTGTAAACTTATTTAACTGCTTCCTCCTTAGTAAAATGAGCGGTGTGTCCTTCTTACCATAAAAATTCTCTTGTTCTTATGAATGGTGTCGGATATTTGAATTCCCATCTCACAATGTTTGTCCATTAATTCACTTTCAATGGTAAATCTCTATGACTCTATACCCATTTAGCAAATGCTGGATACATAATAGTTTCAGATGTTGGTCTAATTGCTAAGTGCTCATTTAAATCACTCTCACCATACTTAGTTACCCAAGCTACTTCTGCCTTGAATCCCTCTACATGTTCCTTCTCTTTATTCAATTGCTAAGCAGATAGAAACATTGGAAAGTAAGTATTTTCAACTTCTTCTGCTCTAATAAGATCATCAAAATATCTTTATATTTATTCCCATATGAAATATGACCAGGGTCTCAAAATGTAACAGCCACTGACATCATAATATTCAATCAATTCTGCTTTTCTAATTACTTATTGATACCATTCAGAGAAATCAGATTTTTTTACTGTAATTGCTAAGGTTTATAGATTTTGTTAATCATTTTAATATTATTTTAGTTATTACAATTGTTGTTCAGCTGAAGCATCAGTCAATTTCGCTATTGTAGATTGCCTATTTAATGCTTTCAAGAATTTATTCTATAAATCAGCTAGAGAGATTTCGATAGTAGTTGTATTTTCGATTGGATGCAACGCCAGTCTTTAAAACTTAGTCAATTCTTCATCAATAATTATATTTTTGACCTTTTATTAATTTAAATACAAATTACTCGATTATTTGAATCATTCGCAATAGAAAAAGGGTTTACATTTCCTTTACTTGATTTTAAAGCTTCTAAAATTTGTTCTTCTTTACTTATTCTCATGTTACCTGATGATAATCCAAGAGTTTTCCAAAATAATTTGCCAACATGTGTTGTGTGATTGGCCAAGATTAAATAATAATTTTACTAGAAGTTAATGAGTGGTAGATGTATACTTTCTTATCAACATATAAAAGATTCTTAACATAAGCTGTACCGTTTGTCACTTAAATTTTAACAACATCATCCATTGTTGGTACAGGGTCATGATGATGTGCAATATAGTTTATTCCGAGCTTAGTTAATTATTCTAAACAGGCTTATTTGTTCGGTAATAATAGATTATTGTCAATCAGAATTTTATAAAATATTTTTCTGCTTTTCCACATTATTATTTCTGGTAATTTTACTCTTTAAAGCTACAGGTTTTAATATATTATGAATATATTTCATAGTATATTAATAAAAATGTATATATAATAATAATTATCAATTAAATTAATATGCTTGGTTTTTTGAAAACTATAGAAATACAGATTCTAAAGAGGAATGATTGATTGAGTAATCATGGATCAATTTTCTTTAGACAAGTTCAGGCAGTGAGAAATAGGCATTGTAAAAATCGAAAGACTAACCAAGTACCGAAAAATTAGAAATCAATTATAGTTTACATGGAATTATAATTTTTCTTTATCCTTCCATTCGATTTCAGTGATATTTAAAATTTTTTCTTAAGAAATTGTGCAATTTCATGTTTATTCTTATATTCTTTTAATTAGATATCATAACCATCCCCAGACCTAATTCTCAGTTCTTGCGGACTGCTCAAACTATAAATTTATCCCTTTATTAAAATTGCAATCTTATCACACAGATTCTCAGCATCATCCATAGTATGAGCAGTTAACATTACACTGCATTGTCTCAACTATACTCCCATTTCAATGTTCTCCATAAAAATCTTCATGCTATTGGATCAACGCTTGTACTGGGATCATCAAAGAATAGAATACATGGTCCTCCAATCAATGCATTACTAACACATAAATTCCTTTTGTTTCCACCTGATAATCGACCACTTTTTCTGTTTATATGCTCCTCCAATTGCATTTTTTACAAAAAGTAAGTATTAATCAATTATGCACTTGATATTATAAAATATCAGTTTTAAATTTATATTTAACTTTCGAATATAATATCAAACTATAACTGACTCACTAATCCTTTCATCCTGCCAAATGATATAGATGTTCCTTTGGTGTTAAATTCTTACATATGCAATCTAACTATAGACATATATCAACATCTTAAAAAATTTCATGTTTTCCTCTATGAAGTTTTCTTATTTGTTATTTTCACATATCCCCCACTCTTATTAATTAAAGAGGTAAGGATTAAAAATAGTTGATTTCCCAGATCCATAAGGTCCAAGAAGTTTAAGAATCTTAGGATTTACTTCTATTTTTATGATATTGTAAAAAGCACTTTGGAATGCAAATAAAGGACTTAAAAATGAAAATATGCATTCTATAGCTTTTATTAAAACTCTACTGTTTCTAAACTTCCTAATCCTTTTTACCGTAATAAAGCGCACATACCCCAAAAGTTTTATGCATACAATAAATAAGAAATAAGTTTAAGAATGGGAATGGGAATGTTTTCATAGCTGTTGATGCTTTCTTATAAAATAAATACCAGAAAACAAAAGTAACAAATGTCAATACAACATTTCCCATATAAGCAGTTACAAAGGATAATTACATAATGTAACTGAATATCACAAATGCGATTACAAAAAAAGAGTAGAAAGTATTGTCAAAATATTTTATATATCTTGACTCCATAATTTCTATTATAAATTATCCATGTCAATAACCACCAACGAAAAATTAAAATATCGTGCTCTAATAAATATTTTAATTCTTCATAAGGTGTGCTAACTGCTATCGATAAAAATAGTAGTGCAAAAAATCCTAAAAATTAAAATTTATCTTTTAAAGAGGCAATTATTTCTGTTACTACTGGCAAAGTTAAATCCGAAATCTATTCTTTGTTTCTAAAGGATTATGTGAAATTCTTCACCAAGAATAACACTAGGCATCAAAACCTATTTTTTTAATTATAAATATAATAAATAATTTAGGTATTCTTAAAATATTTTTAAAGATCATTTCGTTTGATCCAATCATTTTATTTATCGATGAATATTATAATTAATTTTTCATCATTCAAAATCCAATAAACAATGAGAAATTTTTATTTAGTAATTTAATTTATCTTTATTCCTAATTATTCATAAACGTTTTACAAATATCATAATTCTTATTTTCCTAAATTTGGTTTTACAATGCTATTTCTACAAAAAATTATAAAGTGCAGGAGAATACTTCTAAAATTACTTTTATTTTATTAATAATTAATATTCCACTTGTCATAAATGGATTAAATATTTCGAAAATCTTTAGCAGATAAGTATAAGCAGAATTAAAATAAAAAAATAACAAAATCAAAACAATCAAATAGTTAAACTGGAAGAGAATGAAGAAGAATGAACCATTGAATAGCAAGATCGATCAAATTCCAAAGAAGGTATTTAAATTAAGCAGAGATGATGAATTACCACCATGAATAGACTAAAAAGAGAAAACAAATCTAAAGAAGAATTATGACTAATTTACACTATTATGTTCAAAAATGAAACTTATAAAAAATGAAATTTCTTATAGGTTTTGGAAATAAAGATAATTTCTACAATCTAAATATTTTTTGAATAATATTGTATTTTTTATATTAAAATACAAAATATCCTTTATA